CCAGGTGCGCAGTAACTAGTATTTTCATCGCTATAGCGAGGACGACGCCGATCGGCAAACTCTCGCTCACAGCCATCACCAGCCTCTCAAAACCATCACTTGGCATCCCCCAGAGGTATAGGAGAAAGCCAAAACAGCTCTCAACAAACAAAAGCTAAGGACGATGGAAAGAGAGCATGTCAAAAAGAAGACGAACAGTATGAAGTTCAAATGGGTTTGAACACTCGTTCCACCAACTATACCACTTTCAATAAATCGTGACGCCATTTTGTTTTAACACGCATACGGCCCACTGAAAGATGTAGAGTTCATGCTAAGAGTAAGAAAGTGCAGTTAGATGAAGAGGGGCACAGTAGAGACTGTCACGTGTTAGAACTGTTACTTCTAACAGCAGTGCGTAGATCTACCACTGGTGTAAAGGTGTTGCCATGGTGTGAGTAGCTGACAACGGGGTATAGTAGTATAGTCCATCGGCCAAATCTCAGAAAGGGCCTCTTTCGGCGAAGGTGATGCACTGAAGCTCCAACTAAACGCCCTTTGGCACACTAGCTCAGGAGACCCCATAGAATACGAATCCGTTTGTTGGACGTTGCCAATCCAGTCCAGGATAGTCGAACTGGGTCGAATACCTTCTTCCGATTTTCGTAATTTCGTCCACCATTACATCTTTCTCATCGACTTTTTTTCGCTTGGCGAATGTTCTTGAGCCGCTGAGCAGAATCTACGCACGCTCGAACACTTGAAATGCATGCATGTTGACGGTTCGCAAGATTCTAGCGAGATTGGTGGAAATCTATTATATATTTTGACATTTTTTGGGGAATCAGTTATCTGAAGTAGAACGGAAGAAGCTCATTCGGAGAAGACGGCGTGTCGCCGCTGTCGGATTGTCGCTGCTGTGTTTCAGACGTATTTGCTTGAACGTGCTATTGAGGATGGACAGAAGATGAAGTGACGGCTTTCTTGAACACGGACGTTTTGTCTACATTGTAGCTGAAACATATCATCTGGCGTCTAGAACGCAATTATTATGAGTTGTGAGTGCCAGCTGAGCTGAACACAAGCTGGACACCATTCGTCAGCTGGGAATTTGCATCGAAGCTCTTGATAGCCACGATAAGCATAATTATACAGAGGTAACCTTGTTTGACTCAATACGCATGCAGGTGATACCACTAGTGGCACTACAATGTAAATGGTGCAAAATTGATGCAACAGCGAATAATAGTACTTCGTACAATCACGAACAATTGTAAGGCAAGTGTTCATGCCTGTCATAGAAGAATTTCAGCCCGGAAGTCTTGTTGTCATGGTCATAAATAAAGTAGGACTTGAGTTGGCTCTGGACATAAACACACTTGTGGTGAATACGGTCATTATTGCGAGAAAAATATTTAGCCATTGTATGTTAACACCTGATGCCGCACTACAAGCAATATTTCATGTACATGTATGTGAGACTCAATTGCATCCACAAGGCCGTAGATGCATGTAAGCACACAATGCTGTACAGTATAAGTAGTAGTCGCAAATGTGGTGCCTTCCTGCTGCACATGCACATGCGGCAAGTTGGCAACGACACATGACCTATCTGCACCGCACAGCGTGAGCTTAGAAAGGAACATTGCACACATAGTGCTATTTGTGTTCCGATATCATTAAGCCGGTATACATGTACTAGTATCCTTATACATGTACCTGGTCACTCGATAGGCGATTCCGACTGTACTAATCTTATCCATATTACCCGATAGGCTATAGCACACTGCGTCAGATCACTATGCAACAAAACAAGAGCTTTGGAGCGAATATACACTGAAGCAAAGTAGGTTTCAACGGTACAGCACTAGTCACGATGAGGGGAGTTACGAGGATGGTCATTGGTTAGGCCGTGACACATAGATGATGATTGTCAATGATTCATGCATGGTGGAAAATTACCACCAATGGCGATGATATTGCTTTCACAACAATGACATCAGTAGGAGCAGTGACACAACCTTACTGCTCCAAGTAGGATTTACAAGCGAGTGAAGGGAGAGCAGACTGGTCTAATAGCAGACCGGGTCTAAGCAAGGAAGTAATCGGCATCAGAGGTGAGCTTGCACATCAGAAAACAGATGATGATCACCAAACACAGAGAAGTTGGCTATGTGTATGTTTGTGTCACTGTGTGTGCATGTGTGTGTGTGTGTGTTGGTGTGTATGCGTGCATATCTGTGTGTGAGAGAGAGGCAGACAGACAGATAGCATATGGTGGGAGGGATCAAGGTCTGACCTCAGAATTAAATGCTGACGGTGTGGAATAGCAACAGTGCGAAATCGGGCAGGGTGGTTAATGGCCCACACTGGAGCCGAGTAGGAGCGCCAGTGGTTGAGGGCGAGCACAGGAGTAGCAGCAGCTCCAGCCTAGGAAGATCAGCTTCTGGATGAAAATCTCCCGGACACAGTAGGTACCAAGCTTCACTAGCAGATTGCCGGCAGGGGTGCACGGCGAGCACCCGTACATCCCTCAAGCCACCAGAGCCGCAGTACTTGGACACGATCCAGGTGCTTACCCGCCAACAATGCTGAGAAGGCACTGGAGCCATACAGGAACTTATGATCGAGCATGACCACAGACTTGAAATACAGGGTCCGGCGTTGAATACCGAGACAGCGACGTCTCCTCCACAGAACACCACTCAGCCCCACCATTGCATTATTTTCGCTTTTTCATGATTTTTACAATTGTGTTAGAGCACACAGCACTCGATGCAACATTTACCAGTGACTAAACAACTCCGCGTCTCCGACCATAACTGCAGCGTTCCCGTGAGCCTGTTGGATTTCCGTCAGCCTGTTGAGATTATCTTCATCTCGTCACATGCGAGCCTGTGTGTTTCATCCGTATCGTGGCACAATTACACAGACACGATTTCCAACTCAGGCCGCTTCCGTTGCTCCAAGGGCTGGCGGTAAGAATTGCTACGCCGTCTGTGGCTGCATGGGAACTTGGCGAGTCGTCGTCTTTCTCCATAAATCCTGATCGTCACGGGAACAACAGCCACTATTGCCTAAAAACTACGACACAACAGTATCAAGCTCGCCCCAGCAGAAGGACACGAATGACGAGCGCTAAGACGGAGAAAGAGAGACAGGGTTAGCGAGAGCTGACTAGTGCAGGTACGCTGTCATCTCCTGAGGTGGTGGGCGAAGCAGCGAAGTGAAACGAAGGAAGATAGAACTTATTAGAAGGCATACGGAGCCACCAAAACCTATTGCCTGTCACATACTAAGTGCCATTTAGGGTTGACAGCTGTCAGCTGACAGCCTCAAAAATTTGAAAATCTGCTCAAAAAACTCTCGATCAGAACTCTGCGCACTCTCAAATGGAGCGCACAGTAAAAAACTCGGCGACGAAGAACGCTTCGTATCGATGCCCTGGACTGAATTCGGCACGTCCAACAAACGGAATAGTGTTCTCTGATATATTCTCTACGTGCTGGGTATGGTCGCGTTTAGTTGGAAGCTCAGTGCATCACCACTTTCGATTTTGAGACTTGGCCGATGGACTAGTACTAGTACTATAGTAGTGTGAGGCCATATAATACGGAGCATCAGCAAATCGAATATTCGAATGAAATTCGAGAATCGTCACGAAAAGCACTCAATCAGTCGAAACTAGGGCTTTGTTCGACTGAAAAATGCCCGCAAACAGAAAATACTTTTCGAATACTTTTCGAATGCTCCGCGCGTGCTCTAGTACACGGCGTACTACGAGTACTCATTCTTGCGCATGTAGCTACTAGTTCTTACTAAAGTACATACTAGTCCGGACTTCTTGTCAATCTTGACGCTTTCCTCTCTCTCGAACTGTGAAAAGTTTTATCAAGTGTGCATTTTGTTTCATTTCAAGTATCCTGGAATCATGGCTTTGTCACCAACTACCAGCCCCGGTATGCCTCCTGCTCCCAGTACTGCAGTAGCCCTGCTGGCGTTGTCTCGGCATCTGCGTCTATGGTGAGTTCCCCGCAGGGAGAGGGCAACTCAAAGTGTGCCAAATATTTGAGGGTCGACCTTACCATGGATCTCATTCTGCTGAGGCAGTGTAGGGCCCACCCTCACCTATTCGTCCGCGGGTCTTCTGATATGCAAGTGATAGCGGAGGAGCTCGGCCGAGATCCGCCTTTTCAAGGGGTCTCCAAGAGAGATCCTATCGCCAATAGCCTGAATCGGATGAAGCATCCGCCGCTTCGCGTCATCCCCAAAGGCAATGAGAAACAACAGCAACTCCGTTCATTGCACATGTCTAAATCCCAGTCCTCAACTGCTCAAGCTAAAAAAAACTCGATTCGAAAATACTGGACTGCGCTACATGCTGAACCTCTTTTTCATTCGAATTTTCTCTCTGATTTTCTTTTTGCCATTCGAATAATCAAATCGAAAATTCGATTTGCTGATGCTCCGTAGTCATGGTAGTAGCACGAAGAATCGCGGCACTTGGCATGGGCTTCCAAGCTTCCTGTCTGCAGTGGAAGGACCCATGGTCTGTATTTCGCACTCGTGGGAGTGCATAGGATGATAGGATGTCATGTATGGGGACTGATATTGAAATGGCCTTGAATGTGTGAAACTCATCTTGAACTTACTTAGAAGCGTAGAGCCAGAGTGAAAGAGTTATTACCAATGCACCTGTAACCACGCACACACCCGCACACTCTCACGACCCTGCATCAACACAATGTGAACATATCTAGGTCCGGGCATTGGGAATGCCAGAGAGTAGCGAAATTCCTATCGGCGAGACCGTAGAATTAGCGCATCGTTCACTGATCATCGTGGAAGGGAGAGCGTAGAAATACTGGAAGGGCCAACACATGCTCGCACCAAATCCCCTTATAGTATACACACACACACACACACCAACATCATAGCCACCATCACCACAACTTCTTCTATACAGTAGCTACGTGTATGGTGGTGAGCCACGAAGCTGCAGTACACATCCTGAGATGATCTCTAGTTCGAGTTATGACTGGTAGTTCACGATCAAACCAACGGCATGTTCCGTAAATTGTAATCGGAAAATCTTATAAGACCGACTCCAAACTACGCACACGCCAACCAGACGAACCAATGATATTATTATCATTGTTCATGTAATGCAGAGTTAACCTTAGATTTCGCATTTAAATTTGCATCCGGGCTAGCCACAAAATTTAAAATAGAGGTAGTAAAAACACGGAATATACGTGTACATGTGGGTTTGTCCAGTTGTGGGCAAAACATATAAGAAAGCGTGTACATTCATTTCTTGTTTGCGCGTTTTATCACTCTAAAGTTACTTCAAAGAAAGGTTAATTAATCACATCGTGGATAGTGCTGAGCTGTTCAAGATGAAAATAATAATAATTATAATTATGCGGATGTGAGTGTAGTGAGTGTAGTGAGTGTGGGGGTGGGGGATGATAGGCAAATCTTGCAGCATGGCTCTATCAAATGATCACACCAGCTAGCATGCATCACAAAATTATTTAGAAATCGATTACTAGAAGAGTTACTGTTCTCCTACCCTGAATTAACTCGGTGGGTTAATGCTGGACCTGCTGATGAAGTGATCCAGAGATGTGAGATGTCTGACGAGGTGTACGGACTGTTTTCGGATGGCATAAGACTCATAGCATGGTGCGCCAATAGTGTTGGTGGTGGTGGTGTGTGCTGCTGCATGCATGTAAACTAGGGAATTTCGAATTTAGAGCAGCCTCAGCCATAGTAACAGTGTACCCACACAATGGCAACACTGCACACAGCCAGGACAAAACAGATTTGAAAATGATGTCATTGATCTGCCCAGGCCATGAGTTTCAGTTAATGGTAGCCTTCGTAGACCATACTGTAAGGGTTTGTCCTGAAAGACCGTGGGACTGCGCAGCACACTAGTATTACATGATCAGCTAATTGTGCGTGTCAGGCCTGGCGGCAGCAGCGGCTGTAGCCAGTGGGCAGAGTCGTAGTGCTAGCTTGACATCCGTCATTGTCCGATTGTTCCACCGCCGGGAGAAATCCTCCGGTCCCAGGACGAACGACGTGGTTCTCAGGTCAGCGTCACCGGCGATTAGATAGCGTTTGTTGTGATGCAAATGCGGACAGGAGCAGTATCTAGTGGCAATGAATACCAGGAGAACACGCACAAAGAAGCAACATACAAAAATCGTCAAGTAGTTCAAAACCTGTACCATGATCACAACTACCTCACAGACAAAGACAAAAACCATCATTCCGTCTTTATAGGCCGGGATAGTACCGGGTGTTTTTTAGGCAGGGGGAGGGGGGGGGGGGGAAAGTTCATCTGAATTTGACACAGCACACAGCTATCACAAGGATTTCAATAAAAAACTATGCAGAGATTAGATTGAAACTAAAGCCAGAGCATGAGGAATTGGAACGATTTAAACGTACATGACGATGCGCAATGTCATTCACTACGACGTGTTTAGTGCCTACACAATGTAGGTCATGTGTCGCTCCAATTTACCTGTGAACGGAGTAGCTTGGTCTGTTGACGGACATGTACAGACTATCATTTCGATGCAAGGCAATGTGGCGCGTTGTCAGCAAGCTACCCACATCGGAATCCTCAGAGGCATCCAGCGCCTCGAGTGGCTTCAAATACAGCGGAAGTTTGCTGACCTTGAACACTCCAAATACTTCCACGATAAATTTGTCGGTCTGCAAATCCACCACTTTGACGCCAAAAGCTGCAGACATAGAGGTTCACAGTACAATCAACGTGGTCGGCAACATGCCACCATTAAATGCACAAGCTATAGAGAATGTTTTTTTGAAAGGCTAACAGGGAGCCCTTCGATGATTTACTCATGTTTCATCCGGCATTCAAACTTGAAGGTACCTACCGGTAAATAAACACCAGGGCCTGCTCTATGTCTGGGTTGTCAGTCGAGTCAAACTGTACCTAGCATCATCTTCTATACAGGAGCATCCATCGTGATTTTGCATGTGTGTATAATATATGGCCTGATTTAAATCTGGCTTTGGAATTTTTTTTCATTGCTATCAGTTTCGGCCTCATATTCTCTGAGCTGCGCTGATGAGTTCACAAAGGACGAAACAGCATGCTGTCCGCAGATTGAGTATACATGTACATGTATATGTAAATAGATTTTGTTTAAAGGCAAAGGTGATAGCTATCTATAAGAATCATAAAAATCTCAATTAACAGCACTCCTTGAATCGACATTGGAACAAAGTCTTCATTTAAAAAATATTACGCAAAGAATGAATGATGCGGAACATAAACACTTCGTTCCAATGTCGATTCATTCCAAACGCTTTTTAAGGTGATTAGATGCTTATCATACTAACCGAAGCAACCCAATCTTGACCAGGTCCACGACTGTGTACCTAGATGAGCAATTTTTCGAACCAGCAGGTGCCGGTACACATACCCTCTCAACCAGGTCCCTGAGCCTCCTCCTCTCACTTCGTAGCATGCACGCACAGCATGTCCACATCCCTCAAACTAATGAAGTGCAACTGTCATACGCTTCCTAGTTGATTAACTCACATACCGAGGCATTGTGTTTGTCTAATCAGGAGGAAAAGCAACGAAACTCGTCAAGTGTGTAGCCCGTGCATGGGTCTAAGAACTCTTTATCATGCAAAACTGGTCCTTGCTGAGCTTTGCAGTGAGTGAAAAAACACATTTTGAGTTCCTTGTCCATTGTGTATGCCCTAACTACATTCACTGCAGGTGGTCACAGAGCTGTATTGCAAGTTGATAATTGAATTTCGGACAGCTCAGCAGGGAGTTGCAAGGAAAGGTTTTATTCAAATTCAATCACTGTTCGTTCCCCAGTAGGCACCACCTGACGGTTTTTCAGTTCACGTCAGTCAAGTGTTTCAATCTGACTTAAATAATTGAGTTGTTTACACAAGTGTGACGTACCACACTGTTCCTGTGTACTTATACCCCGTGGCTATCACCAATTTCAATGAAAATATCAGCATCAGAGAACATCCACCCATACTGCCAGAATATGTATACAGTCGTCCCTCTCTAATCCGGCACTTTATAATCCAGCACCCTCGATAAACCAGCACAATTTTCAGTAGCCAAAATGTCCTCTTCATGCACATTGCAGCAGTAAATCAGATTTGTTAATCCAGCACCCTCCCTAATCCAGCAGATTTTCGTGGCACAAATGGTGCCGGATTATAGAGGGACCACTGTACTTAGTGTCCAGCAGAGGGTGGCCAGATTTCGCCTCACATTTCAGCACACGGTCTGGTAATCGATCCACCTCACCATAACCCCAGTTCACTGAGTGTGCATGCAAAGTGGCTTAACTTCAAACAGTTATGTTTCGCGACATGATCTCAAAGCCCCTGCAGTTGTCGATACCAAATGTGGCATGGTGGCCATGCCTTTGAAAGACCTGGCGCCGGAAATGACATGCTAATAGCGATGACATGGAGTTCCTGGGGTGCCTACAGAAGTATTTAGTAGCTAGCTGGTTAATTAGGTCAAACTTGGCAAATGATGACGAACGGTGTCCATACCAACCATACATATTTGGAATACACGGGAATGTGATCTTTCCAACAATTATCGCCCCCAATGCAATGCAGGACACCGTGCTGGTACAGTACATGGTAGCTCATGCATGCACACAATACAGTCTTAGACCCCCTCATACGGAATGTGCCACACAGTATGCTGATGTCAGGAGCGCCCTGAGACTTCAGCTTCAATAAAGTGCCTTGGATAGCTAATACTCGTACTCATACATGTAACATGCAGTGGGCATTACTTTTTATGAAGGACCCTGAGTCATCCTCCGATAGTCATTTGATCTTAAGCTCAAGCTCCGATACAGAATAATGCCTGATCACCATGGTTACAACTTACAACGTACATTTGCACGGCCCCGTTTCACTGTAGCGTGATTATCAACCGAGGACAGGACAGCCGGCCTGTTGTAATATTCTACGGGCTCACACATTTGGGAGAGATCCACCACTCCATATAATCAACTCACACTGCAACATACACTTACAAGTTACACGCAGTGACGCAAACAGAACACGACAGGCAACCAACCCAGACCATTCACACCTTTTTTTCTGGCAAGCCTGTTTTTGTTGTTATTGGCAACACGAATGCATATGCACGTACATGTACATACGGTTACATACCATAATCTCGCTTGCACACAGCGTCAATGACTTGCAGGAACTTGCTCTTGTTCGCTTTCCTCACGCGATGACACAGTGGACATGGTTCTAAGAGAACAGGGACGTGGAGTACACAATTGAATTACATCACCAAACTACATGAAGTACAATGTACATGTAGCTTTGTGTGTGTGTGTGTGTGTGTGTGTGTGTGTGTGTGTGTGTGTGTGCATTTGTGTGTGTGTGTGTGTGTGTACGTGAGTGTGTTTGTACGTGTATGTGTATGAGTGTGTGTGTGTGTGTGTGTGTGTGTGTGTGTGTGTGTGTGTGTGTGTGTGTGTGTGTGTGTGTGTGCATTTGTGTGTGTGTGCATGTGTGTGTGTGCGTGTGTGTGTGCATGTGTGTGTGTGCGTGTGTGTGTGTGTGTGTGTGTGTGTGTGTGCATTTGTGTGTGTGTGTGTGTGTACGTGAGTGTGTTTGTACGTGTATGTGTATGAGTGTGTGTGTGTGTGTGTGTGTGTATGTGTGTGTGTGTGTGTGTGTGTGTGTATGTGTGTGTGTGTGTGTGTGTATGTGTGTGTGTGTGTGTGTGTGTGTGTGTGTGTGTGTGTGTGTGTGTGTGTGTTTATGTTTGAATGTGTGCGTGTTTTTTAGTATGCGTGTGTCTGTGTGTATTACCTCTGACGTTCAGTACAACGCCTATAATCCAGCGGCATCACTTAAATAAAAACCTAGGGCTCACTAGTATACTGCATCTGCTTGTGACAATACAATACACACTGTAAGAGTGACTCCGAAACATAAACTCTCTTGATGGACCACCTTGGTCCTGGATATTCGCCTTGGGGACATTCGCCTGGAGGTGAATGGAAATCTTGGAGTCGCCCCCGCGGGGACCGGCATGCACGAATTTGTCTCCGAAAAAGTTATCATGGCATCATCTTATTATGTAGTATTTGTATATATTTTACATCAATTTCAAACGGGCACAGTTGCCCGATATCATGACCCAATGGCTGCAGTCTGAATGAATGCAATCGTGAATAACCAGGATTCAAGACATCTAGATGCTAGACGCCTTGCTCTTACCTACTACGCTATTCGGCACGTTCTTGCGAACACCGTGCGAATGCTTGCCTCGCTCCACTGGATGCAGTGAGTGACCATAGCATACTGGTGTAGTCAGCAAGCTAGATGACACTGTAACACAGTGGCACACAGTAGTACAGTGAAACGTTTTAGAGAGCATGTCTGAGAAAACCAGAAAAGTTGGGCTGGGCCATCTCTCCGATTTCGCTCAAATTCTGCAAGTAGGTTGCCCTTGGGGTCTAGAACAACCATGCAAAAAATTCGCTGCACGACTCACGAACCCCTTGGAACTGGGGACCACCTCGAAATGGGCCCAAATTACGACGGAATTGTGGTCCAAAAGCGGGTAATCATGCAGTTTAGGGTCCCAAATTATTTCGCACTTTCCCAGTGTTCAGTGTACTGTCACACGCGTTTTCAGTGTACTTTCACTATGCTTCTTCTTTTCTCGTGTGAAAGTTTTGTTTCCTTTGTCAAAGTTTTGTTTCCTGTGGATTCTGCCTGGCTCACGCATCATCTCTGACGGCTGGGCCGCATACGCGCAGATCAGGAACATCGACGGTGGCGTATGCCAGCACGATGTCGTCGTCCACGACGACAACTTTGTTGATCCGGACGACCGAACGATCCACACCAACAACGTGGAAAACATGTGGATGCGGGCCAAGCGCCAGCTGAAGCGCAACTTCGGCACCTCGCGAGAGTTGTTCCCGACGTACCTCTGCGAGTTCGTGAGGAGACAGAGAGTTCGCGCGGAAGACAACACGTTCGGCTCCCTGCTCCGCAGTGTTCACCAGCAGTACCCAGTCTGATCTGTCCTCGGTTTTCATGAAAATAAAGTTCATGATGTGAAAGTACACTGAAAACGCGTGTGACAGTACACTGAACACTGGGAAAGTGCGAAATAATTTGGGACCCTAAACTGCATGATTACCCAAAAGCGAGCGCTGGTACAGTATTTGTATATATTTTACATTAATTTACCCCAACGAAACTAAGAACAAACCGCTACCATGCCAACATTACCTCACCTCAGTAGTCTTCATATAATCACCACACTGAGCCATGACTACATCCAGGAAAGCGATGGCCATCATATTCAGACTGATAACACTAAATTGCATCGCTAAAATAGCCAAACTTCAAGGGCCGGCCATAACGGGAACCTTTTACAATGTCCATTTTCCTGAACCATGCACTGCAAGACAGTGGACATCGACATCTCCACTGCCGACTGGGACATATCTCGTAAAAGTGCTCCACTTTCAAGTTCTGGGAATACACAAATTTGAATATTTTCGCTTCACCACATTGCAACATGGCCAATTTCCAACCCGACGACGGAAAGCGCCTCCTCAAGCTCCAACACCAGGCACCACTCCAGACGCCAGTACGCCAAACACTGCAGCGTTGTCACCCCAGTCTGACAAGAAATTTTCACTGACAACCCTTGTCACTCCAAACATTACAACAAGCACTTCCTTCCCTGAGCGACTCGAATTATTTCACTAGCAGCTAGCAAAGCTAAAGCTCTGCGTGCATGCAGAAAAATTGAACAAATCTCGATTTGTGTGATCTATAAGCACGGCATGTTTGCGTCCTGAAACTGGCCGTGACCCGACCACCGCGTGACATAGAGGAACGACGGATTTGATCAAGTAACACGTGGTTACCAGGTTAGTTGTTCAACACCCCCCCCCCCCCCCCCCCCCCCCCATGATCAACAAGGTGAGGTAGTGTTGGCATGGTGGTGGTTTGTTCTTAGCTCCGTTGTATCGCCGTCATATTTTGGGCCCATTTCGAGGTAGTCCCCAGTTCCAAGGTGTCCGTAAGTATTAGTTGTGCAACGAATCCTTTTGGAAGGTTGTCCTAGACCCCAAAGGAAACATACCTGCAATATTTGAGCGAAATCGGAGAGATGGCCCAGCCCAGCTTTTCAACCAAACTAGAGAAATGGGAGAGAACGTAACGATTGTTCGGATTAAATCTGGTTGGTAATTGTCGACATCCTCCTAAACATGTTTAACTTCGAAGTGGGACCATCGACTCGGCAAAGGATACGTTTTGGCCGAATAGAGAGACAAGAGAAAATGGGTCTGGTTCCACGATAGACTGCAGAATATCAATGTTCAAGTATCCGTGTATCATTTGAATGGTGTTTGCCAAGACAATGGTCTTGGTTGACATTTTATCCTCACCTAATAAGAGATGCTAAAATCAAACCCAACCATGCCCTAAAAACCTTTTCACGGTTGTTGTTGTTTATTTATTTTACATCGCAAGGCAAACGGGCAGTTCTGCCCAATATTATGGAAGCGATAACAGCCAGTAAGAAGAGTCAGAAATGAAGAGAAAAATAAAGGAAAATAAAAATACGAAAATGGAAGTAGCAATGAGGGGAGGCAGGGTCAAGACGAGCAGAAAAAAATGGATCTCAAATTTACAAGTCGGGTCATCGTAGCATGATTCTATCGAGCCTCATCAGCAGGTTACGAAAGCCGTTACATTTAACCGAAGTAAAATACGCGCAGCATGCGTTTGAATTCACGGACAGATACTATGGACTTCATACAGTCGGGCAGGCCATTCCAGAGTCGGCAGCTGGCTAGAAGCGGTCGGCATGCGCCAGAAGCACTGTGGGCCAGGGGGAGGGGAAGGTTGCGTCCCAATTGACCTCGAGTGGTCATGCCTGTCGGCGGGCCTTGCAATACAATTCGGGACGACAACAGCTCACTGACGATTCCAGAACGGATTCTAAATGTCAGGAGTCGGAGCTTGCATTCTCCTCGTTCCAGCACTGGGCAGACACCCAGCCTGGTGTACAGGAGAAGAGTGTGGGCCTATGGGTGCTCATCGGCCACGCAACGGATGCAACGTTTATCCAGTTTGGCTACTGTGTTCCGCTGCTCAGCAGACAGTCCTGGGAGAAACGCATTCGACGCATATAGAATATCCGCCATAATCCGGTATGACAAGGGCAGAGTAATACAGCATCACCTGCCTCACTGTTAGGCAGTGCCGGATCTGGCGGAGGATCCGCAGCTTCATAGCCGTGCGTCGGACGATAGAGGTGACTTGCGGTGACCAGCGAAGATTTTCGTCCAGAGTGACTCCGAGGTTAACGTAGAGACTCGGTTAGACCGAGTTTTCCGCATCAGTAGTACCGCCACCACCAGCTCTAGTAGCAAAAATGCCCTTCCGAGTTTAAAAAAGTCTTCGTGCGCAACGTCTGGCCTTTTCCAACATGGCTTCTTGTGAGACTGCTCATAACTGCTCATAATACATGTACTGACACAGAGCGTCATACACGTACTTCCATGTAGATCGACTGGGAAGATGTTACCAGAGTAACCAGGCATCTCTGCTTGGTACATAATTTGTCGTAAACACGTGTAGGTTAAATGTATTTTAACTAGAACGTCCATCCACCTGTCAGGCTGAGTACTCGAGCCTGTACTGTGCCAGGACGACATCTAAAGGATCACGGATCATAGACTTACCCAGCACAATTACAAGTTGGCACAGGTAATATCTCTGAGTCATGACTGGAGTTCTTTGTCCACTTGACCCACTGCTTTCAATTAGTATTAATTGCTTTAGGATACATTCCTGGCACTATGGCCACAGTGCTTGATCCGGGGAAGGTGACGTTCGTCATAATTATAGCCCCAGGACTGGACTGGTCAGCGATGTCAGCGATGACTAGCAAGTCACCGTTACAAGGAATGTCATTTACCTATTAAGTATTATTAGTCATTGTCATAATGGCGTGACTAGTACGTCCACGCAGCAGGATGTAGCAGGTCCAACGCTTGGAGCAAATCACCTCTTCATAATCGAATGACCCCGATCATCGGTCGAAGCCGAGTCACATGTGCACGTGCGTGTGTGAACTCGGGAAGGAATCGCCATCTGACAATGACGAGCACACTGGAACATAGAAATGATGATGGGAAACTATGTAATGCCATCATGGCATGGGACAAGTTAGAAAGGAAGAGAAGATTAGAAAACAGGGAGAGCAAGCTTGAAAGAGAAGTTACGGGATAAGAGAGAGGCTGAATGGAAGATTAACACACAAATACAATCACACAGGACGAATAGAGGACGGATAGTAGAGACTGGAAGACTGAAGGAAGAGGGTAGAGATGTGACCATAGAAACACTTGCGATCAAAGAAACATATGAGTCATATTGGGTATTATAGTAAGTTCAATGTGAAGAAGACATCTTGGGAGTTTCCATATTCTCACTCCCCTGATCGTGCTATGAACAAGTAGCCATTAGCAACGAGATGGCCATGAGGCTCAGTTCAACAAAACATGTATTTGGTTGACTCGATTCCAAACGTTTCTACTCGTCTTCGGACACATTCTCGACCCAAGGAGCCATATTTGGTTTTAATCGTGTAGCTAGGTATCCCTCCTCACAGCATGGTGCCAGTGGTGTGTGTGTGTGCGTGTCTAACAAATACACCACCTGTGTCGCTGGGTAAGGTCCGGATCTGGGCACGTGATAACGTGTTGTAATGCAGCGGAAATTGTTGAAACATGCATAGCAGCGAAATGTGCATTCACTGCATCATCGTCTATCTGCATGTCAACACTAACTAAGAACTGTTACTTGAGCTCCTGCATCTTGGAAACTTCATCGGTATACTGCACTGCTGTACACTGGTTCTAACATTCAAATATTGCTACAGATGACTTCAAGGATGACTACTAGTACATGTAGTCGGAGTGGCAGGGTAAATCCCCTCGCACGTCCGGTCCTATTTTGGATGGGTTCCACCATAGACGCAGGTTGTGTTGCAATGGAGTTTATCCTGGTCATTGTAAAAGCAGAGCGCATACATATACTTCAAGACAAGTGTCACCGGGAATTATGTGCTGATGTTTCCAAAGTTTCAACTAACTTTCAACAGTGTTAAACAACAATAGAGAGCTCTTTTAAAGGAACAACCCACATAAGGACACATGCAAACACAACTACAAACTGCTGAACAGAGAACGAGAGATGCACGCGCACGCAAATAAATAAGTGACTCTTTCCGCGGGGCCTAGTCTAGAGTTTGGAATGGTAGAACATGCAAATACCGTTACGGGGGGCATGCACACAAATAGTCATAATATTAATTATACATAATTATCATCATGATCACTTACAGTATAAGAGTGCAGCGACAGCGAACAGGCTCCGTGCAGAGAGTACGGGCGACGATCGCTCCTGCGCGCAGGATGGACTCAATAGTGCTGCTCTACTGAGTTGCGTGCACGTGATAATGGAATCCATGGCTAGGACAATTCTTGCGATGACTGTCAAACTATGAGAGCGACACACGAACAGCAGATACAGTTGCAAATCTGTTACTCGCTGTTACAAAACTAAGCTCAAACTAGGGGTAAAGTTCGACAAGCTTTTCTCAGGAACAGAATCGGTATGACCGAATTGCAGTTCGCTTCTTTGTTTTATCTTGAACACCGTGCTTGCTGCGTCTACAATGTAGGTAGTACGAGGGCTACGGATACTCTATCTGCCATGAACCCGTATCTTGAACGCTGCAAGCACAGCTGGCCTGATCTCATCCTGTACCCAGCTCACAATCGCACAGCAACTGTTCATGTTGTTACAGCCTCGGGGAGACACGCTTTGATGAACCTTTTAACGTATGAAGGGCCCCGGACAGCCTGCAGATCACATCTCCTTTGTAGCTGTCAGAACGGGTGATCTATATTTAGAATTCTTAAGTCACACAAGAAGCATGATTTCATACTCTTGATTCTGAGCTTCATGCGTGAACATCGCACCAAAGTGTCCTGGCACTCATGTTGCATGATTGCACGGTAACCTCCCCCTTGGGATAATCCACTACATGTACATCTCCCTCTCGCAAATCTGCGAAAGTGTTCGCTCTCGCACTCAGAAGTGGTCACAATTTGCCATTACAATCACATAGTATGCATGTACTTCAAAGTAAACGTGCCGCATTCTTCCCCATCATGGACGTGAGGGCGACTAACCTACGACAGCTGAAGCAACAATAGCGCTAATCACTGATCTACTAACTTGTGATCCGCTTGCTTCAATCAGCTGTCAGTACCCTATCGTGATCGCATTGTTTTCATTACAACCGCTACTCACTTCGATATCTCTCAAGGGTATATAACAGATTAAAAACAGCCTTTAAGTTACCGTAAAGGAACTAAATTAGGAAAGGTGAGACAAAACACCAATCAACATTGTTTCAAACCGTCAATAACACCATCAGTTGACAGGATAGTTCGCGGTTAGAACATCGCTGACCTTTTCAAGGGTTCCGGTGGTGACGGACCACTTTTCTTCACAATTTTCAGCCCCCGAACAACATGACTTGTAATGAAATTACAAAGTACTCGTTTGATTAGATGGAACTCTAACCACATTATGCACTTTACGTATTGCGTATGGTGATAATGTCACCCCAGCCCGCACTGAAAACAAGGGACAAGCAATACTCTACTTCTTTTTCTATACTTTCCCACATGGTACTTAGGGAACCACAGTAGACACACGTAACAACCGTAATGTAACCCACCTGACGTTTTCTTCAAGTCGTCGGAGACTCAGGTCCGGTAGTTAGCACGATAACACCTTCAAAGCTTGAGATCACTTCGCTTTCCCCTTTGGGTTTCTAACATGCAGCCGGACCCGCAGGTGAGCAACTGACATGTCTATAGCATCCGTTCCCTAAATAATGACTTTCCCTTGCGGTCTCGCAGTATGTCGGTAGCCTCCATGGAGAACAAACATACAGAGCTCTTGCCTGCTATATTTAACGCGCATTGCGTCCAGAGCCAATATCCCCACGCCGGGGTGCCTAACGAGCAGAATGATGCGCCGCCCAGCCGCAGCAGCTGGTTAATTCGCCTCTCACACGCAATGCAACTGCCCACCATATCCACGCTACACACATATGTACCTGGGCAGCACACGCAATAGCGTTTGGAAATATACAGTGGCATTGTGACCTGTCCGGAATCCGAATAGCGAGCAAGAATGTTTTGCCGGTGTATCGCAGTTGGATGCACAGCATGCGAGCACACAGCTGTGCATTACCAAGGCTAAATGAGAAAGGAGTTTGGCTGCAGGGTTTTGGGCTTGGTGCACACACCATCATGTTGTTCGCGTCTCGTGACGCAAACGATGGCGTTTTAGGGCGAACAACAATGCACTCTAGTTGTTCTCTAGTAGGTACGGACAGGGCGTGAAGGTGTGAACATACCCATTATGGACATGGTCAATGAAAGCCGGAGCTATTAGGTACCAACACCTAGAACACTCGATCTGCACGACACGAATGATTCCCAGCGGGAGAATCTATACTGTAACACATTGGCTCTCCAAGGCCAGGGGCCAGAGTTAGTAAGTGAGTCCACTTGGAACCCCCAACCAAGACGGATGTGCAGAACATATACACAAGTTACATCACAGTGTATAACCGTTCTTACTTCTGTTACCATTCTGCACTGCATTCTCCGATAGGTTCTCAGCGGGACATTGTTTACTGCACCAGATCAATACCGGCGTTTTGATCTGCAGCTATTCTCCTCGCTAACTCCTGAACCTTTCACCTCACCAAATGTCGAGGTACCTTTACTGGGTGGCACACAATCCCCGGTCAGCTAACTTTTTAGAACCTTCTCAGGTCTCATTAATAGGGCTCTGAGTCACTGGCTTAGCCGATCGCAGTCGCCGCAGTCGAACTGGTCACCCCAACGGCCAGACAGAGTCTATGGAGGATGTTTGCACTGTGAAAACTAAATGTTTGTTCGACACCATAATTATAATCATATATGTCAAGAGTGGAGAAGAAATACAGCAAAATTCAAGTGATGTATTTACAAAGTGTTCTTGTAAATCGGTTAAAGGGAACTATCTCCCAGGGAAAAACACAGCGAGCTTTGCTCGATGGCAGACACTGGTTCAAACCAGAGAGTGCGTTCACCATGTGAAATACTTCCTATTGACTGTTTTCTCATTTTCTCAAGTGCAGCTTTATCGAGCCACACTTTTTATTCTATCGCCATCATAATATTGGGCATCAATGCCCGTTTGGTTTGCGATGTAAAATAAAACTTCAAACAAACAAACCATGTAAAGTAACAGTGAAGTTGCACATCCGCGTTACCACCGGCTTACGATTGTGTTGAGAAATACAACCAGCTACCACCATTGAGAATCTTAGATGAGAGGATGTGAGTATTACTACTCGAAGTCACACCCCGATTTAACAGGTACATGACGTAAACGTATTTTTGGTGATTAGAGGTTTGACCGGCAGATATTGAGTTATTCCACATCGTGTGGGATTCCTTCGCGGCCTCAAATACAACAGCTGTTTTCATATCAATCCTCCTTGGTCTATTGGATACAGCTGAGGCTCAGCATATTGAGCAGGGTAAGGTTAGAGCGATATACACATACTCGTGTCTCCTAATGTTTCATCTTGGAGGGGGGCTGCTACCCACAGGGTCCCTCAAGACCAGAATGCCTTCTCACTCTCACTCCCACTCTTTACGCTATGTCCATCCCACAACATGCGACCGGTGTTCAGACTATTCTGTAGCGTTGTAAGTCTCGTGCTCAGAGCAGCACTAGTTTATGACAGTACTGTAGTCTCAAAATGAGCCAGGGTACATCTCAGTTCTCACCGACGCTGCCCCTCTCAGCAGTACTGGGCTGTACTACTATCTTAAAGTTCATGTCACCTCCCCACTGCCGAATCTTGACGCTGAGCTGTATGGAAAACCGCAGTTTCGTGTTTGTCTTAGCGTACTTCACACACTGCAGGCGCGTATAATGTCGTTATTGTAGTCGCAGGCTAAAACTTGTAAAAAGAGACGTTCACGTGTTTCCAGGTTGTGTTGCCATTGCTAGTACAAATGATTATGACTTGCGACGACTAGATAGTCAGAAACAGTTGTGGTCATGCATGTATTACTGCAGGTAACCACTGGACACTAAGCGTATTTGGCAATTACCAAGCAAACCAGCTACAATTTGCTATCCTTGGTTACATGCATGTCTCCCTGAACCCTCTTGGTATTGTTTCTATACACGGGTACACGTAATGGTGTAACTACATGTTGATTGGTTGACAGCAGCATGTTACAAGGCGGAGGGTGCTATTCTATCCAACACGGCTTACCTAGACCATGTAACTACAAGCCATGTACATAGAATATCCCTTGATAAACCTGTTGCAATCAATGCTACTTGTACTACTGATAGATTGGTGATAAAATGGAGTTTAGCCATCATTCATTTGAAAGCAGCAATTTTTGCAGGATTCACAGCTAAGGAATGATCCACACGTGGAGACGCGTGAGCCCATGCCCCCCCCCTCCCTTCCTCACACATAACCCTCTATTCACCACATCCACTTCAGTCAGTTGTCTAAGGTCCGACTGCTCACGCTGCGGATAGTGCTCTATGTCCAGTAGACAGAGCCGGTCATACAATGATCACACAGCAATGTCTCAACCAAGTTCTTTTCCGCCGTTACTCAGAGTAACATCAGATAGCATGACGTCCAATTCAGCCATACATGTACTAGTAGTAGCACAAGTATGCATGACATGTACATGACTGCAGTGCCAGTTCTACTAGACAGCAGTCCTTTCACATGCCTTCACCACTAACCTACATGTATGTTTTCTGGTCTGCGCCATTATGGATGTTATCCGAACAAACTATTACTTTTCGCCAACGTTTCACGTCTCCTGGGCAGCCTCTCGATCACTCACTACCAAGAGGAAATACAGGGGTTGTGGTGTTGGGAAGAGGGGGAGTGGGGGGGGGGGGGGGGAGTTGGTTGATTGAGTGATGTATTTAAAGCGACCAGTTGAGCTCCTCGAGTCAACTGACACAGATACATGTAAGTAACCTGTTTATGGCTAACGGAAGGCGTGCACCAATGATATCAAAGCCATTCATGGTGGTTCAAACACGCAGCACATGGGGTAATACCGTGTGCGGTGTTTCACCGCGAATTGAGCTGTGTCGGTCAGCCCATACCCAACTCACTGAAGACATGAAACTGCAGGACGCGACAAAACTTATCTCGAACACTTACTACAAATGAGAATTGCCTCTGAGCAAGCTTTGCATTATCTACTGTACTAGTATTAGAAGTACAAATTCATTGACCACTAATCACTACCCTATATGTAAGCCAAACTGCACAGATTTTTCCGAGAGTAGGCGAGTGGAGATCTGAAGGGTGTGGCAATAGCACCAAATAATTGCACCGGGCTATTTTGGCACTATCAATCATCATGTCATCTTGAGCACAATCACGTACAGGTACATTGTACCCAATCAGTCTTTCTTTCTTTGGACATGTATATTCTCAATGTAAATCACGATAATACAAGCAGGCACTGGGATTAGTACAGAGTTCAACTTACCTTGTATCAACGTCTTGGATGATTGATGTTGATCAACTTTGAACTAACTGCCAATGTTTCTCTTTTGGCCAACCTTCTTTCTCTTCACGTTCAGCCTCACCTCTATCTGCCTGACTAAAAGTCATTTCGGAACCCTTTATACTCTGCATGCGGTATTACAGTAGTCAGTACAGCATTGGGTGTCGGCGCTCCTATGTAGACAACTGCTACACGAGTACATGTATACAAAGTCACACGGGTAAAGGTAGATGGTTAGCACTCACTTCTTGTAATGGCCAGTTCTCCCGCACTTGTTGCAGGGCATGCTCACCATGGGATTAGCGCACCCAACGCCATGACGACAATCGTGTAGCCAGTGCATGTGACACCGCAGAGCTAGCACACTCGCTACAAGTGACCTGAGTCAAGCAGTTCGGTGAAATCGTGTAGCAGAGGCTAACAAACACAAGCTGCCATCGCTGCTCCAAAGCAAAGCCCAAAAGCCAATTCCAGTCCCTTTTTCGTCCAGGAATCATGTGTCAAGCGCCGGTGGCCATTGCATGCGGATGTGCGGTGAACAAGCAGTAGTACATTGGATGTGTCTACTCCAGTTTTAGTACTCTGGTGTGCGCAGAACGCGCAATGGCTCTCTCCTGTGAACTCCTCTCTGATATCCTGCTCAGCACGCGATTAGTTGCCCCGTGTCAACCCAGGCTCTAGCCTCTTGACCTCCTTCCTTAGTCTCATACTAAAGTCGGCAGCAACACCCACAATCACTCCCTCCTGTAGCATAGGAATGACCACGTGAAAGTGTCTTCATTCCTCTCTATTCGACATGGGTTCGTCGCTAATAAGGAAGAATCATGTAGACTTGAAACGGGTGGGGATAGCTAACTCTGAAGTTGATGAGGTAATGAAGACTAGTGAATACATACTTTTCGTGCACTCCGTACAGGACAAACATGTCGAGCCAGTACCCAATGTGACAAAATCACACAGACTTAACTTAAGGTCTACAGTCACACGCATACACCGGCTGGTAGTGCCTTGCCTAACAAGGTGAGGGGAATTGCACACGCACTGTGATCAGCGCAAAGAATTTTTTGGACTACTTCCTCCGCCTCTTGATTGAAAATGTCGGCACAGAAAACAACCCAGACTCTCGCCATGCCATGCCAGTCTTGGAACGACGTACTAGCACTGGAACCACCGCGACGACGCGGTGTACCACACGCAGACTATCGGCCGACTCAGTTCCCATGTGCGGCACTGACAACTGCCACCTGTCAATGTACATGTACAATGTATGTAGCACAAAGGAGCCGTTGAGCATGAGTGTTACCTACACATCCAACATGATCAATGTCTATTGCTGGGTAGTGGAGAAAGGAGTACATACGTTGAATAAAGGAGGCAGAAATAGGCTAATACTGTCCTTTATGGTCTCAGTTTACCTAACCTGGGCCCCAGTATGTTACACAACAGTCACACACCCCAGCACCTTCACGTCCTTTGATCCTATGCATAACTGCACACACAACTACATGTATCACATATTTGCGTCCAGTGGTGTGTGATACATTGCTCCAGGTGTGGCACGCTCGAATACTGGCTTAGTTTTCTGAGTATTGATTTGCCTGTGGCACATGTGAGGTGAAGGTGACGCACAGCATTGCCTAGCCGTGAGCAAGATGTCTTGCCAGGGTGACGAATATGGGTTCGGTGAGATCTGGCGAATCGTGCCCAGAGGATGCAGAAGGCAAGCGCGTCTGCTTGTTTTCTTGCCAACGTAGCAGCTATGAACCACAGTGTATTGAATATTGAGTATGAATTGTCCTTTGCTCGAGTTCGTCTAGTGAAAATGACCAACTTATCAAGTTACGCTGATCACCAGCAATCGTGTTGTCTGCCAAAAATTGCTGTAATCGCCCGGCACAGGCCCACTGCTCCTGTGCTGTCTTGCGCCGCAGAGCGGAAGACCGACCCATTGTCATGGGTCAGTTTCGGGGTGTGCGCGGATATTGGCCTTCCCCAGTACTGAGCTGCACGGAGAGACAAGACACCAATCACCTCGAACAGAAGTCACAGAGCAGCAAACTAACTTCACGCAGATCTTTCTTGCGGCAATGCGCGAGAGTTCCATCAGTGCAGCATGCGAGTAGTTCTATGCCTCCCTACTGCTTCGCCCCTTTAATGGCCAGTGTGGACAGATAGTAGCAGTAGTACTAGTAGAATCACGAAGTGCCAACGCTGTGAAGCTCGCAGCTGGCGCTTGACAGGCGCAATGCGCGCAGTGCGGTGAACGCAGCTGAAAAAGGGTTAACACCTTCGCACCATCCCTGCCCTCCAGATTGCCTCCAGCCAGCGCTCCCACCACTGACATCAGGAAGCTGACAGTAATTGTGCTACTCTTGATCCCTACCAATACTGTACCACTGTTCCTGTTGAAGGGTTTCAGAAAACGCGTGACGTCCCGTGGCAGATTATCACGTTCCACTATTGTAAGAAAAATTGCCTTCTAAAAACCCTACATTGTACATCGTATTAGGTTCACCACCGAGCCAACATGTACGTCAATAGACCTGGCTCAGAGAGCCATACGCACAACGCAGGTTGAATGGCCCTTATCCTGGATGCTATTCTCAGAAAGGATCAAAACACTCAACCTGTACCTGTACGTGCCATTTCTCGACAGGAACATGTGTTTATAACTGCTCCTGGCCAAATAGCTGCGGCTAAGCATCATGATCTTTCCTAGCCACGAGGGTTACTCCAACACTGTTCATGTAACACTCCACAAGCAACATGCTGTATATGGTAGTACTTGGCGGAGAGGGCATACTGTGGTGTATATATTTGCGCCCTTACTGTTGCCGAGCTGCTCCACCAAAACACACTTACACCAAGGTACGCAGGGCCGGCTTCTTCAGTTTTTTTAACAAAACAAACGATTCCTCCTCGTTACGGTATGCATACACTTTCATTACTAGCCGCAGACAGTTTCTAATGTACTTCTGCAGTCGACCTTCGTATCTTTTGTAGTTTCTAACAAGCCAAAACCTGTTCCTAAGCATCCCACTGGGAAGGCACAGCCTGTAGGTAAGATATTGGCATTGTATCACCTGTATCAAGCTGCCTGCAATCGATGTACATGACTGTACATTGTCTTGCACATCCTATGCCAAGATCACTTCAAGATCACTTAGTAGTAGTAGTAGTAGTAGTATTTATTATTTTACTAGGGCAATCCCCACAGACTGTGAGTCTTTTTACAGGGTACCCGAGGTAAGTGCGTGAAATAGAGCTGAATTAAGAAAGCCGTAAGTGCGTGAAATAGAGTAAAGAAGAAAGAAAACGGTGGCTGCATACTATGCCATTATGTGTTGCAAAAAAAGGCTCCGGCTAAGAGTACTGTTGAACATTGCAAAGGAGGCTGCCTGGCGGCATGCTGCTGGAAGCGAATTCCACTTCAATCGCAATGGCATAGTACTTCCCAGAGCTTTGTCAACTATGTTTACCAAATCTCCTATCTGTTATGCATATCCGTATTGGCTCAAGCTGCCCATGGAAATGAAGACAATATCACCATGGTCAACATAGTGATCAATTTCACCCCGCTGATGCGTTCTTTTCTTCCGATTATTATGTTCAAAAAGAGGACCAAAAGTTTACAAGTTATCCGTTTTGTCCAACACTAACGGTTATAAGCAGAATACTGTTGAGTCAAAAATGTGCAACAATTAGCACAAAACTGACTGATGAGATCACGACATTCAACGACCTGATGCTTAGCTGCATCACGTCTAGAATGCGCAAACCAGCAGCCTTCCAACTTGGAAGGTTCTAAGTTATGAAGTAACGTAAGAAAAGGGAAGGTGAGCGCACTCTAGACGAAAACAAGCTAAACATCACAGCGAACTAAGAATGTTAGCTATGACGAGATGGTGATGAAGGACGAAGGACCACGGCACAGGACAGCCACAGCTCACTTCGGAAACGCGAAACAACGACCACCCAACTTGGGAGGCTCATGTTCTCAGAGATAAGCAAAAGAGGGGGGAAAAAGGGGGGTCATTGTTTCGCGTTTCCGACGTGAGCTGGGGCCGTCCTGTGCCGTGGTCCTTCGTCCTTCATCACCATCTCGTTGTAGCTAACATTCTTAGTTCGCTGTGATGTTTAGCTTGTTTTCGTCTAGAGTGCGCTCACCTTCCCTTTTCTTACGTTACTTCATAACTTAGAACCTTCCAAGTTGGAAGGCTGCTGGTTTGCGCATTCTAGACGTGATGCAGCTAAGCATCAGGTCGTTGAATGTCGTGATCTCATCAGTCAGTTTTGTGCTAATTGTTGCACATTTTTGACTCAACAGTATTCTGCTTATAACCGTTAGTGTTGGACAAAAGGATAACTTGTAAACTTTTGGTCCTCTTTTTGAATTTTAATCCTTGGCTCTCCATCCGAGATTATTATGTTCTTTCCTTTTTCTTTCGTTTTCCTTCTCTTGCCACGGCCGGCTAACGCCTCTTCCTTTGCATTGGCTTCTGCCATTGGACGGTGAAATACAATAAAATACATCACTAGGCCAAGATGTCGATAACAGTTCAGGCACCTTACTACCCGATATTCTGAACAATCACACAGGGTCAAGACAGTGACTACATCCCTGGTCACGTGACTGGTAAAGCATACACAGTTCCTCAAATTGGATATTGGTTTAGAGTATGAAGTGGGTTTTGAACCTCAATTCGGACAAATAAATGCTTTCGGTAGCCAACGGCACCGTTCCACCTGAGGTGACCGGCACTGACTGCATTAAACCAGGATTTAGAAGAAATTATTTTTGAGTACCCAAATGTACATGCATTAGTGGCCTGAAACCTCACCCACCACCCTCTTTGAGGACCTGCAATGTTCCTCCAGTCCCAATGTCGTGGCTTTCGATGAGAGCAAGAGTACATACATGTAACTCTTGATTAGAGGCATCGCAGTAGTGTTTTTGGAGCATTATGAATAGCACTATACGAACATTTTCGGAGCATTATCCACTGGACCCTAAACGCGAACCATATTTAATATTATTAGTAAAAGTTTGTACGAGAAGTGTGTGGGTACAGTGAGGGCTGCGTCCCACCCGCCTGTGTGGATTCACAGGAAGTGTGAGTTACGAAGTCTGAAGAAAATGTTGAACGGTCTCTGCTGGGATGACGACTACACCATAGCTCAGTGGTTAGAGCATCGCTGGCTACAAGCGAGGGTCCCTGGTTCGAGTCCTGGTGGTGACAGTCAATTTTTTCTTCAGACTTTTCCCGTTTGTCTCATTCCCTCAAAACCAGTTAATAGTTCTTATTTAATATGGTTCGTGTTTAGGGTCCAGTGGATAATGCTCCGAAAATGTTCGTATAGTGCTATTCATAATGCTCCAAAATTACCCTGTAATGCTCATTATAATGCTTCAACAAGGGCGATAATGCTCTTGGTTTGGAACAAAAATGGAAGAAAGGCTGCACATTGTCAAACTTCCAGGAAAGGATGCATTTAGCAGATCTGCCTCTGACGCTGCTACAATATCTCTCACGAGCTCCACCACTTCTTAGCACTATTATGACATGATCGTGTCTCCATTGGCTGCTCTCCATTGCAACTTTGATGCAGGGCTGTGCCTGAATAGTGGGTGTATCAAATCTTTCTCCTTGCTTATCCATGTAATGAGAGGTGAAACCATTATTGCTGGTGATCATTTTGATGCTGGAAGCTTATCATGGGAAGTGGTATTCCTGCCTGAAGATAAGCTGTCACTGCTTCCACTCTGTGCAAAATGTCTTCATCTGAAACAGCTCACGTGAGGCCAGTTCCTGAGAGACGATCTCAGATCGAGATCCCTCCCATTTGCGGAATCCTGTAAACACGTGGTCAGAAGTTAATTTGCCGCTCTACATCCTCTGCTTGCGCTGTCTTCTTCTCCTGAGGCTCCGTGGAGACAAATGGTTGGCCACAATACTCTTCTTTTCCGATAGCACTTGACTGTAGGCCTTGCGTTACAATCGTTCACGACGAACTGTATGTGCTTCACCAGGAAAGTAAGACACTGCGCGCTCCTCAGCACTCAAATCGACTTGGTACCGCGTCCATGAGATATTCTAGTTCCTTTCGAGCCTGCTAAGCTGGACTCGGCAAAGGCAGTTATTTGGAACAAGCTCTTTCTGTTTATAGCCGCTCCTTCATCCAGGTCCAAATTTATCAATGGATCAGTGTTTACTTCAGTATCGCTAGAGATGCTTTGGCCAGAGCCTATGGCATAACACTCCTCCTCGTCTGTTTGATATTCACTTCGCGTACGTATAGTCTCCTCCATGGCTCTCCATGATTTCTAAAAAAAAGAACTCCTCGTAACTCATCTTTACGGATTCTGTGTAACAGCCTCAGTTGCAATTTGGGCATGCTACATCGCCTGTACATTTACCTGACCACATACCTACATAAAGACTTCATGTAGCAATGGCATAACATGTATGTAGTCAGGTAAATGTAGCATTAGTCAAACAAGTCTCATTCCGCTGTAACTCCGAGTTTCGTGTCAAAACACTTCATCAGACAGCATATAACCAAGAATAAACAATCACAAAAATATATACGGAGAAGGGGAGAAGGGGGCAAAGGTGATGGAGGTACATTTCAATAGCGCGAGGAAAAGGGATGACAAAATCAGCGTGATTATAAGAGGAAAAGGATGTTGAGAGTATAATAATTATAGAGCATAGCCAGGGTAGAGAAACAGCGCGATTTTCTGGCAACACATCAGTACAGATTTGTGCTGCATTGTTACACATGAAATTGTGACCTAGGGTGGTAAAAAAGGTCATGGGGGTTGTGTTGTGGGAATCACTCACGCCAGGCAAGGGGGTGACTACCACACCCGCCAAGGCATCGGGAAACCGGCGACAGAAGCCAAGACCCGCCAAAGCGCGTGAGCCATGAGCCCTGGGGAGTGCTCACCATTCCCGCGCCCCGCGGAACCCAGCCTCGACCGCCACCTCCCCGGCCCCGACGGGCAAAACAGCCACCCCCAGCCTGGCGTGGCTCATGTATTTGTCGGTCATCACGTTACCCTGCTGAGTTGGAACTTGTTGGCATGACGGCATTTGGAGATTAACTCGCTCCTCACAAAGTCATGTGCCGGTACAATACAATGGCGTTGCACCTCATGACTTTAGCCGATTGTTGCCAAAAACCTGATATTTTCCGACATTATCCACTATGAAACTCGTTATGCCACTCAAATCTCACACAATGCTCGTCTTGTTCCTTTCTAATTCTCCGTAATGCTCTGATGCTCGGATTGTCTCGAATTGCCGAATACAATGCCGGCATTATCTGCTGGACCCTATTCGTCTTGTAGTGCCCTAGGTTTTATACGAATGCATGTGCATGTCCAACAGGGCCACACGATACATTTACTGTGCTTCCGAATGAGGGTGACTTTCTGTCAACATAGATAAACTTAAAATTGATCATAAACTGAATAAGTCACGTGATAATGCACGTGTTTGTGCAATACTTAGGCGCGTGGCAATAATATTTGCAGCAAAAGATTTTCAATAATCGCTGACTGCTTTCATTCAGTCAATGAACGAACGTACGGTAAGTCGCAGGGAAGGAGGAGATGGAGGGGACAGTGGGAAGGGAGAGAGATGGGGTTGTGGAGGGGTAAGGGGGAATGTTTTGTACACTCAACAAAGCAAAGTAAATCAGTCGCGTGACAGAAAATCATAAAGGAACATCTCAAGCCTGGCCTGGAAAGGGGAGATAGGGCCATTAGGGGACATCTGTTCCCTCGGTCTTGGTAATATTAATGTGAATAATTCAAATCTCAACAACGGCAGATGCACGGCGACCAAGCGACTAACGCTTTTCCCAGGAATCATCGGCCAGCAATGAGGAGGTCTCAGCCAGCGCCGATTGTGCAGTCCGGCCACCAAACAGGTTCTGTGCCAAGGGACTGCCAGAGCAGCGCACCAGGTTAGACTCTATGGTCCGCTGCCATCTGGCTTTCCACCTCATCACAACGTCCATGGGGCCCAGCATTAGCGTGTGGCCGCTCAGGTACTCGCGCCCAGACAACAGATATCTCTTGCCCTGGATCAGTGACGGACATGCACACCTGTAGAAGGCAACACAAGAAAGTATCGAACATCAGAATGCAGTGTTTACGACAAAACAGCACAGAATCAATCACTCACAGGCACACAACACTCGATATGACTACTTTTTTTAAAAGTAGATTCTTTTAGTAGTAACAAGACCCTCAGCTACATTACTGTATTGTCATTGTAAACGAACCTAACAGAACTTTGGGCTGGATGGCATCAAGTCCAATGCTACAAGCGAAGTTCCATATTTGCCATGGGCTATCGTGGAAATTGAGAATACTCGGATGGTGAGCCAATTAAATTATGGTGAAAAAAAGGAGAAGGACAAAATGTTACGAGTTATGACTAACTGTCCACCAACGTAACCAGATCTTATACAGTCAGCGAGTGTATAAGATCTGGTTACGTTGGTGGACAGTTAGTCATAACTCGTAACATTTTGTCCTTCTCCTTTTTTTCTCCATAAATAAAGAATAATAAAGCAATATTCATTGTACTGGCTGACCAGACCATTCTGTGACTCAAACCCGTCATCAACAAACTTTGGCTACCTTGAGCTGGGCCTAGTGGCCCCACATGACAACGCCTATGCCTTCCAGGAACGCACTAGACGCTCAGCTGTGGCATGGACTTCTATTATTTTCGTGACTCCAGTGATCGCGTCTAGGAACGTGAAATACGTGAAACTCACACAATTGGCCTCTCGCTTACAAGTGTTGCCTTCGTTCTATGGAGCGTAAAAGGCCTTGGCTTGGTACTGAATGCAAACAATGATTCATAACAATTATGATGATGTAATGCGCCTAACAACCCCTATGCTGATTGCTGAGTCCAGGTGTTGACGTCATGGTCTTACCTAGGCTCCAGGGGTGCAGTATCTACGTTCAGTCTGTCCGTTCGCAGAATCTTCAGACCCTTCGTTTTGATGGAGATCAGTCCAATCTTGAACACTGCTTGAACGTCCACTTTGTAATACCGGTCAGAGATGTTTGTCACGACGCCGACCAATACTAGATACGCAAAGAGGTATGCACACACACGATAGAAAGACACAAAACACATAAATGTACATGTACTTCAAAACATTGATAAGACTTCATTAAATACTGCAGGTTATGGCTGAGGTAGTTCTCTGCTTCTAGTCCTGGTAATGACAGTCAGTATTTGTCTTCAAATTTCTTTGAACAAGCGACGAGGGGAGAACAGTTTAAAATCGTGATGAGCAGACCAAGCTGAATCGATATTAGCGGCTTATTGTATATGTATTTGGACGAACGAACGAATCATGCAAGAGTGAACAGCTGGGGTGGACAAAGGAAAAGAAAAATGAGATTACAATCTGGCACATTGTAATCACATTTTTCTTTTTCTTTGCCCATCACAGCCACAGCTCAATCTTGCACAGTTCGTTCTTCCAAATACAATAATGCCGTTTTTAAATGTCGATTCACCACTCGACAGTGCTCGGAAACTAAACTGTTTTTTTCTGCATATATGTAGTACACTGCAACATTCAAACAAGAATTCGCAATATTCCAATCTTGTGTATGCTGTCTCGCATCAACTGTGATAGTGGAGATTTGCATCCCTTCTGTGTATGGTAATCACCATTAGAGAGTGAACTGCCAAAGCCGTAATCACTGTGTCTTGAACACAAAGGGACCTCTTGAATGCTTGGCTAATTCACATGTCGCCACGACTGTCCAACATTACACAGAATTCCCATCAGGATTCATTTCATCACACTTGAGAAAGAAGAAAGGCTGACAAGGTGGCAAGAGCGAAACATCTGTGAGAAAGTAGAGTGGCATTTTTGGTAGGAGCACAAGGGAGTGAAGGCCAACGTCTCAAAGAGCATGGTTGTTTTATTGGTCGCAATACGACATATGGCAAGGAGAGGCCGAGGTTTGAGTGTCCCCCCTTATTCGGGACTGATAACAGACCAATGCGATGATACAGCTTCCGGTGGCGATGGCATGATTTGCACATTTTCCACAAAATACGTGCGGGCACTGATGGTTCATGGTTCATGGCATATGAAATACATGTGATGTGTGATGATTGGAATGCTAGTAAGTTGCCATGCTATCATCGATGAACCTAGGAATCTACTTGATCATTCCCATGCACGATTCTGGCCTGTTATCGCAGAATACGAAACATGAATGTATGATTGACAAACAGGACTAGAAAGGGCAAACTATTATTGTTGTTTTTGGAGTTGGATTTTGCCACGTGAAGTTGTACAAGTGGTACTTTTTGGATTGAAAAACCTCTATACATATGTACACTTGAACCTGAACTGTGAAGTTTGAAACAGAGGGTTTCCAGCTGGGCATTATCTACACATGTGCCAGCGTTCCCACACGGCCCACGCTCGTCTCGGATCACCCCCTTGGGTCATATGCCTTCTGCTACTGTCACAGGCTCGCCATGAAGCCACAGCGTTGGACTGCTTGCTGTGTTCACATGAAGAAACATGGTGGGCCGCTTGCATGGTGGGAGGTCGTCATGATAAGCCTAGCTTGTCGTGCCCTAGTCAATACACAGTATCGCACAGCAAGAGCTGAGATTCCCCACATTATCAACAGTTCTCGCAGCATGTATAGTATACACTGTACTTCAGAAAGAGTACTGAACCTGCACTGGCCACTGGCACACTCTGAGAGGTGTATGTTACGTCATAACGATAGTACTGTACATGACACAGCGGTTCAAACTGTCAAAGTCATCTGGAAGATAAGCATGAGCAGCACACTAGTATATTGCCCATGACCTTTATGTAACCCAATTGTATAACCTCCATCCACCCTCGCACCAGTACCCAATGCTCAGTGTTTTCTGCCAGCAGCAGCACCGAGGCCGCTGTATGGTCACAGGTGCATGCTCGACCATACATGGGTGTGTGTGGTGATGGAGATCAACCCGTACACATGTAACCGTCTACGGCTTTCAGCTGATGCAATCATGTACTGTGCTGGCTTTATCACCACAACCGCCTTGCTCTCCACATGCCACACTGCATCCGTGCCTTGCTCTCCACATGCCACACTGCATCCGTGCCTGTAGCATAACCTGCCTAAATACTGATCGTAAGGATGACAAGACCACACCTGATGTTGGACTGGCGTCCATTCTCACTGGCTGGCAGCAAACCTCGAAAGAAGAGGAGCCAAAACAGATTGCTGATTGCTCCAGTGTAAATATTATTGAATTCCATACCGAGATGTGGAGACCTCTAACATAGAATATTATTGAATTCCATACCGGGATGTGGAGACCTCTAACATGGAGTGATGAAGACACTATCCACTAATAATAGCTCATTCTATCATCGATTCATAGAGCGTACTCCGACTGTATTGTTGGCTCGTGATAACGAAATCATTGCTCGTCCCAGTTGTGCTTGTGCCCTGTGGTCCACCATGAGGGTGCCTGATGTGAACTGAGTTAGCTGCAGCTTCTCACTCAAGCCAAGAGCAGAGCCATAAGTGGATCGACATAATGCTTCACTGCCTTCAGTGGTGATTTCAGTACACACACATAACACACACACACACACACATACACACAAACACACACACACACACACACACACACACACACACTCACACTCACACACAATACCAACACTGTGATCTCTGCTTCACCCCGGAATCCCCGCTGATAATAGCGTGGCTTGAAACTTCGAGGAGGTATGCTAGCGGCGAGCCTCTAGTCAATGTCAATCATACACAGTGACATATCTCTCTCATCTTGGGAGGCAGCTATTTCCCCTGCCTTGGCATGTACACGCAACATGCCCTGGAACGGTCGTATACCAAGTGTCAAGTGCCACAACTCACCAGCTTAGCTTTTGTCTTTTGTTTGAGTCCTTGATTGAATTTAACGGTCGCCAGCATTGTGTTGTAGCACGTACGTCCTTTCTACGTCTGCTTGTAGTTATCTCGAGTCATGTAGGAACTTTTTGCACAGGTGGAAAGTGATGCTGAAGCATAGCCATGCAGTGCTGTTCTGATATACAGTACAAGTACATGGTAGTTAGTGGGGTGTTAATCGCTGCATCATGTATGCCAGGAATTTTGATGAATGGCATTGCAATATTCGTGGATATGGCCCGTCGAAGTACGCGTACACAGACAGAAAGTGATGCTGAAGCCGTGTGAAGGGTGTACTGTGATACAAAGTCGCCCTACTTTGCTTGTGGCTTTGTGTGCGTCCTGCTGAATACTGCATCCTGGTACGTGTACACTATCTGTGCTAACGGCTTTCCTTGTACCAGGATAACGCAGTGCAAACACATGGTCATACTATGTAGGTATGTCAAGTGTCTATCTTTAATAATCTGAAGAATCGGAAAGACGAACCGGTAGAGTTGTGGGATTCAGATTTCGTGCTTGTCCTCTTCGCCTCTTTCTGTCTCTGTATTGCGTCCCCTCCTTCTCTGTGGGTATGTCCGAGTCTCTTCTCTCTCTCTTTCTCTCTCTCTCTCTCTCTCTCTCTCTCTCTCTCTCTCTCTCTCTCTTTCTTTCTCTCTCTCTATCCGTCTACTTCGATCTATCCTTCTCCCTTTCTGCGCACACACGAGCAGTAGCAATCATTGTCGTCGCGACATGTCCACCTAAACGTGACGTATCTGCACGGGTAACAGCACAGACATCCGTACCTGTACCCCTTGGTGGACAGCAGAGATACCCGCACATGTGCATGTACCCCTTACGTTGTAGGAGGAGAGTACATCCTCAGCACCACCACTGGCCAGGTAACATTGGCTTAACGTTCCATACTCGTATTGAAATGTACCACAACTTGAGGCCATGGTGCCTTCGGGTTACAAACAACGCGGCTTTCTCCCCACGACGGAGCATCGTCTGACTTTTGACGGCTTCCAGACCATCTTGGGAACTAATACATCTGGACACTGATTACATCAGGGCCCCAGGCAAGCATCGCATCAACAATGGCACTGTGGAGACTGAACTGCGCTATATTACATACATGACTTGCTGTGCTCAGTTAGTTGCTCCAACGACTGATGACAGTGAGGGTGACAGTTGGACAATACTAGTGCCACGCAGAGTACTGAGGCAGGTGGAGCAAGCTGCATGCCCCTGGGGCGTGATATCTGTGAGAACCAACTCTCGCCGAGTCCACACTGCACCCAAGGTCATGATGGCATTGCCTCTGTCAGCTAGGGCATAACATGTCCGTGTGAAAACAAACACACTGGCACTAGATTGAATACACACCGGGGCTAGATTGAATCAGACTGATTAGCACAGCTATTGCTGGAGGGCAACAGGTGCTGCGGGTCACAGACCCCCTAACTCGGTCAGGGCAGTATGCCTTTTCCGGATGAGCTTGGCACCGATCATCATTACGAGCGTTATTGAGTTCATGATGCGATTACTCCGAGGTAACCTTACTAATTGGCTACCTTTATGCGCAATAACGTCAATTATGCTCCTGCTGTATTTCCGCATTCCCTAGACCTGACCGGACGCGAATCAGTAACGGTGTCCACAGCCCAAACAAGGAAGATATCAACAATCTTCTAATCACATTCACATTGCAGAGTGATGTTCAGTTCCTCTCGTGATGTCGTTACAGGTGAAGCTTTGCAGCAACAACAGTTCAGGACTTTGAGTACTTTCAACTGCACTACTATCAAGCTAATTACGTCATGATTACGTCATGATTAAGACATGAGTTCGTCCTCATTACTCACCGTAGTGGAGATTTCCGTTACATGCTCTCTGCCTGAGCAGCTCGATCAGGTCCCGTCGTCGCCTTCTAGCTAGTTGGCATTGGTGCGGACATCGATCTGCAATGGTAACAGGAGAGATCATAGCAGGAAATCAGATATAGATTGGTAGGCTAATACCATAATTGTACATAGAGGAGAAGGACAAAATGTTACGAGTTATGACACACTGTCCACCAACGTAGCCAGATCTTATACAGTCGTACAGTCTTGCACAGTCTTATACAGCCTCCTCCTTTTTTATCATAATTGAATTGGGTCACCATCCGAGTTCAACTATACAGAGAGGGTACAACATATCGCCTGGATCTGTACAATGAGGGATTTCCACAGCGTTGCAATTAACGTGCTCGGAGGATGGGGGAGAATCCTATTTACTTGCCTTCTTATGTCTTATCAAGCAATCAAGAATTCCTCAACAGCCGTTTCGATTTTCATTGGTTCCTACGCACGACTATTGCAAACGAGATAAAAGGTATTTGTCCTATACAATGTAACTACAACTTGTTTAGCTAGTTTGCAACATTCAACGCTGATCCATGTCCATCAATGAGGTATCACAGCATCAAGCAACAGTTCGTGATAGAGATGGTGTGTGTATGCATGCCTACCTTGAACGGTGTCGATATCGGATGGTGGGCTCTCCTCACCCTGTCTGTTGTTACTGACATGCACATTCGAGCTGGAATGGTATGGAGTGCTGTCGAGCGTGTTGATGACCTGGTCAATGAGCTGATTAATATTCCGACCTTCGCTGCCACCATCACCTCCACTCAACGTGCGGTCGCTTACTGAGCTGCAGTCTAGCAGAATTAGCGGACACAAGACGCGAAAGAACATTATGTTGCATACTAGTACACACACACACACATACACACACACACACGCACACACACACACACACACATGCACACACACATACACACACACACGCACACACACATACACACACACATACACACACATAGCGACATGTACACTGACACGATGCACAATAGACGTCCGTGTGCACTCCCCACATTAACCCATCTCCCCTAAGGGGCAGGTCACACTGAGGGAGCGCTGCAGCGCTGGTCAGACATACATGTTTCATTACACTCCCCTCCCCCCCCCCCCCATACATTCATTACACAATAAAATCTCCCTGAGTGAATCATGTTCTTGCCAGCGATAACCCTGTAATACTGCAACAATAGACCAGCAATTTATCCTGCCGTCATTGAAAGTTCTATTTCAAGCACAGCACAATTTGGTGCATGTTAACAGGTAGCAGTATTTCAACAATTCCCGTACATGTACATGTGCACTGCCACAGGTACTTACTAGTACACGCAAGCAAGGAAATAAACGAACAAACGAAACACTACAATGAAGATGTGCTAAGACCATACCGAAATATGGGTGCAGAGGTTCCCACGATTAGCGTGTTTTGTGTTCTAGACTTACTTATCCCTTGGCTTGAGCAATCTCCGGACAGTGAGCTGCACTACCATGTACCATGTATACCATGTATATTATAATCCCACCCTCCACTTCCCATTGCACTTGATCATTCATTCAGCCGGAATCACGCACGTAAAAGTACTTGCATTCCGCGCGAAAGGGAAATATCCGTTTTCAAGTGGTCACCATGTAGCACCAATTCACACATGTACATCATCGGGCACAACACTGGATATTTCCTCCAACAGGAAACCCTGCCAGTTTCGGCGTGACAGTCAAGACCAGCACTCTCCTATTCGAAACTACATTTCTTGAATGTCTACGTCCAAACTCACACACGTTTCATGTTTGTGGTAGCTTGTTGGTGAGCGAAACAGCCCCAGGGCTATACTAGTGATCGGCGCACATACGAACTCGACGTTTAGATGTCCAGCGGCTCGGAGTATGCTTAGGGGTATGTTGAAGTACACGAAGATGGCAATTGCCCTGAGCAAATGCCATCATAGGCAGCCCTATCCATATTATGGTCACGGAGAATGAACTTTCAGAGCTTGGGGCTACGCTATGCACGAACATCTACACCATCGTTTACGTCATAGCTTTTTGGATGGTCATATTGGTCCCTCTTAGGATCTACATTAATTAACTAGTCCTCACCAGCTAGAATGTATACAATACAGTACACTACCACTAGTACTAGGATGATGTACCGGGGTGTGCCTTTGCGCACTTGGGCCTAGATTATCTCTGTCTTGCCATTGCCCTGTAGATTGTTTAACTAATTACTTAGTTATGGACGAGATCAGACCAGAGCACTTGCGTATTTGAAGTAATCCTTTGCCATGTTGATCCCTAAGAGCCAACGGTACAAGTTCTCGGTATAGAAAGGGCGTGAAGGCGGCATTCTGCCAGGCATAGTCTGCACTTCCACATGAACTAAGGAATCGCCTAAGGAAATACTCGCCGCATGGTATTATGTTCGCAGACAACTGTTACTTGTGGAAGATATTGTGCTACGCGGCACGTCCGTAATTCGTTACCCAGCCGAAGCCCTGCCCAAGAATGATATGTCCACCCCGACTCCCACGATGGTGAACATTAGACTGTACCGTAAACATGCAAAGGTACCCAAGTCATATTTCCGGCTGAAGACGAGCTGCAATGTAATTGTCTGAGCAATCGCGAGCTGTGCATGCGTTCGAGAGGATATCCGTCTTTAGTAGTCTGCACAGCTGTCCGGAATGTCTGCATCCAGACCAGCTCGGGTTGGCTGCTGGGCGATTTCTCTATAGCAAAATTGTTTTGATTAGATCATTCCTCGTGATTGACATTATTGATACATGGATCAACAAACAAAGAAGGTCTGCGTTGTGTACTTACTACAATGTACTTGAACTACTCGTGTACAATGTAGATGGGGTGGTGATTGTATGTGTGTGCGTGTTCAGATGAACAGTGTGAATGGCGTACTGCCTACTGATGTGTTTTTAACGTGACAAGTGGCAGACCAACTCTCAACCGTTCTGGAATCAGCTGGACTTTCAGTCCACATATCGGGGATGAATCATGCCCTCATAGATATTATATAGATGTCTATTATTGTCCTTGACCTGGAGATAGAACTAATCCCATGTTCCAAGCAAAGCAACGTAACACCAATTTGCATTATTTGTCTCCAGTTACCATGCAGCCTTGCGACTGCTCGCACACACCCATTACGTCATTACGTGTTGACATTCACTGACGTCTAGTACCAGTGCAATGTCATGTAGTACTAGTAGTCGCCTCTCCAAACACACATGGCGACATGCCTTTGTTGGGAGACGGAGCAGCTCTGGCACAACACACTAGTTTACTTGATTGTAGTATGCAAGACACAACTGTGAACTGCGACCGTAATACGCATGCACTGCAGGGGCTGATTATCCGGACTTGCGATGACCTGTTCGGAGTGTTCCGATTGTGTTCGAGTTTCGTCACTGCTATTGTGGCGCATGTCTGGGACAAATCAATCCGTGGGTGTCGAGTTTCCATGCACACCCGACACCCATCAAACTACACGATCACTTGATGAGTCCTGAACCAGTGTCTGCCGCCTCATCTCCCTTTGCTTCCAGTAGCTGCCAGTAGCAACGAACACACCTCTAGCATAACATGCCAGTTGCAAAAAGTACAACTACATCTACGTACAGACTACATATCATGCACGTACAGACTACATATCATGCACGTACACACTGGTAGCTTGAGCTCTTCATTCAGGTTAATTAACCATTCTTTCCTTGGATAGCTGTGGTCGTAATATTGGACGACATGTGGCCTGTATTTCACCGGCAGTAGCATATCGGAATCCTATACAGCGAGGCCTCACCCAAACCGCTCGCCCACCAATCGGAATCCTGCATGTCACAGAGCTACATGAACCATTAGAATCCACCGTGCATTCGACAGTCCTGCCTGTAATATCTCTCCACAATATTGTGTACTAATTTAGTTACTTATTCACGGGTATGGAGTACCTGACCGTTGCATATACTGCTGGGGTGTTACTTTGGTAGAGGCCACCGCGTTCTACGGCCCTCATTCCCTAGATCTACAGGTGAAGTACATGATTGCACATTATGCGCAGTCATGCTGTGTTCGGAAATAGAGCCTTGTGTCGCAGGGTCATGGACCAGTGTAGTGGCCACTGCACCAGTGTCGGATGTGTGGCATTTTGGGGGTCAGCAGTCTGCGACGCAGTAGTGATGCCGGTGCATAATATTTTAATTGCCACGCGTTGCATTTTGTACGTTTGCAGCATACTCATTTCGAACTGTAGTGTTCCTTGATGCCCCTAAGTGTGTCGTCAGCTAGAATTTAAAACACAGCAGACGCTGGTGCTTGCTGCCAACATTTCACCAAAACTGCTTCAAGCACTGAATACCTCGCTGACAAGTTGCTCCGCGAGCACTTGGATATGTAACAGAACGCTCTCTAGATGCAAATCGCAACTAGAAACTGTGACAGCGAAGCAGGCATTCAGCCGTCACACCGATAAATGTCTCCTGTCAGTTCACCAGATTATTGTTATCCGTGGTAAGGCAAGGCTCCAGGAACGTCTTGCTCCCATTATACCAGCACCATCATAACAGTATACACCAGCAGACTAGCCTCATTATCAGCGTCACGTGATATAAGGCATAGTATGTGTATTCTGAATGTCAGATCACCTCACCACAGACTTTCTACTTGAAGTACTGTTCATCTTCAGTCTCACTCTGCCATGCCTTTTGTAATGCAGACATGCTAGTGAGCACTTTTTTAAAGAAGGTAACCTCTGCTATTGCATGTGCCCAATGACTGTCAGTGTCACTAAACGTGTGCGTGCTTACTCTACCTATCACCATTACCGTGGGGCCATTGTTTTAGGCATATGCCTGTTTTGATTTCCACTATACATAAAGTATACAACAACAACCATGATCACTGCCCCTCCCTCCCCCCCCCCCCCCCCCCATACCCCTAATTCCCGGACACAGGGTTACGAGCTCTATCAGGGCCGACATGGGCATTGAGCCCAGCCTCAATCAGATCCTAGTTTGACCGAGGTTGGTGCTGGATACCTCCTGCCCCGTTCAGCTCGACAAAGTGAGGATGGAACTCACTCTTTTTCGTCGACCAGTCACCTTGCCTTAAAATGTAAACCATAATCTCAGTCTGACCCTATGCTTGTACGCTGGAATGTGTAGGCGAGTGATCCAAGACAGTAAAGCATTACATCTGCTCACCTGTTTGTTTGAATAGCATCATTGCAAGAAGCACCGCCACACAATACTCCATCATAGGTACACGCGTCATCGTCCTCCGCCGCACCAGTATTTCTGTTGTCTTGGAAGATTTGCAACGCGACGCCTGACCACGAACAGGAAATGTCAACAGGCCAGCCGACGACGGTACACTAGCAAAATGAGTTTGTCCAGTTCTCGGTCACACTGTATGTAGACGAATCGGCAGCAAATGCAGCTTGGAGCAGCGCTAGAAGAGACGCTTGTGCTGTGGTAATGTTGTCAGAAGCTCGCTGCTCGCACTGGTCTCTCACTCTCACGTGGTATGGTCTGCAAAAAATGAAGCAACAACGTAAACACTCGACTCACTCTCAAGCTTAGAAACACTGATTGAATTTCTACTGGCCCAGGAGGCTTTATTTATCTGTTTGGCGAACCGTTATCCCTGGCCCCCGGTATGCCCAGGATCGGGCGATGCTAATGGGCAACGTAGCAAAATTAGGCAGGGAGGAATAGTGAAATCATGGCTGCTTGGCAGAAGTGACATGGCGAGAACGTCTGGGCTCGTGTGTACATGTACCTGGCACGGAGTACTTTAGCCGGAGCACGATAGAGGCACTAAGGGCCAGGCATAGGCGATCACTGCTGGGATCTATGGCAGCTTGCTCCGGCCTGGAAACATGCCGGCTGCAGCACGAGGACTTTATCATGTTAGGCCGCCGCAAAAACACGATCCGATCGGTCGCACCTCGCACGCCCTACGCCATCATTATGTAGACACATGTGGGTGCGTGCTACAACACGCCAAGTGCCAACATGTACACGCGGAATTTCATCTTGAAATCTTCAAGCACTACATTATTAGTCGGGGGCATGTTCTCAATATCCTTGTCTTATGCTACGCACTGTTGCTGTGGACGGTGGGTCTGTTTCTCTGCAGCATCTCCATTCCTGGCGTCTTTGTTCGACATCCTGCTCATGTGCTGGCAGGTTGAGCAATGCCTAGGCATTGAAGATTGAATGGAGCGCTTTATCAGTGCTGGTAATCAGGGATTCAACTTGAAGAGGACAAGAAAGCCACTCAAGGCTCCTTTATCATGTCACCTTAATCCTTTAGCTCAGCGCCTTCACAGCGCTGTCACCTAACACTAGTAGTAGCAGCCATAGCTTCAAGGCCTCATCGCAGTCCCCGGGTCGAAGCAGTATGATTTTGGAAGCCTTCTGGAAATGGTCATTTACATCTGTACAGCGGCTATGTCGTCTTCACCGGTGTAGTGTTGAGCCGTTACTTACCATATTGAGTCAACTCTGAACTTGTACAATCAAGCCGTTAAACCACAACGCCGCTTTTCATTTTTGGTATTATTTTACTTAGGCATTCCCAACACACCGTAAGGTCTTCTTGCAGGATGCCCAAGATGTATGAGTTACATGTAAGTTCCTGGCGCTTCTTGTCCGGCAAAGTAATACTGAACGCAATGACGTCATTAGCATTGTCCCGGGCCGGGTCCCAGGAGACGAATTCCAGGAGCAATTAATCTGTACCGGTCGAGATCACAAGAGACTCTTTAGGTAAGTAAGTTCATATTTCCACATGAAGATCTACGACACGGTGACACTACAGTCGGTTGGGCGGGGTGGAAAGTTTCTAACTCTAACTCTAACCCTACGTCTGCAGATACACTGTGACTGAAGATGAAATAACCCTTTCCTAGTTGGAACAATCAACTTCCTTTCATTAGAGTTAATGCAAATAGTGATATTAATGGGACGGTGCATGTGTTTAACTTTAAGGACCTGTTAGAGCAGCTCAGTTTCCCAGCAGCACTGCCACTGCATGTTCAATGCTATCTTTCAACTGCCAGTACATAACACATGGACAATAAACAATAGTACATGTGCAATTGTACATGCACGTACATACATGCATTACAGTAGCCACGTGAAAATCACTGGCGTATGTTGTGCTGAACAACACAGAATGATCTCAATACTTGATCTCAAAGGTGACGTAGATTATGGGGATATCAGTTACAGGCCAACGTTGAATTACAGTATGTAAATGACGCAGTCACGCCTTGTAAATGTACTCAAGTAGCATCTGCGAGGTGGAATTTTATTCAGCGTGAACTATTGCTACGACTACGAGTGGGTCGTTGCCGAGATACTGCAGTACTGGTATACAATGCTCTATAGTCCGTGCTGACCTGTCCTAAAGTCCTGTCGCCATACTTGATTTCCACCTTTTGTGTTGACAGAACAATGAAGACTTTCAACGGGCTGGTAAATATTCATTAAAATGAGGGTGCTGAGAACGGGGCAGTCTGGTGAAGAGCACAAAAGGCACAACTGTGTTATCCAGCCTGGCGAAGAATAGCCATCCATTGATGAGCAACGAGCCATTTTTGCTACTAATAGAGTCCAATCAAGCTCAGTGTGTTTATTAGACGAGATCCAGGCCACACAACAGGTGCGAGGTGTCATGAGGAACATTGGTATCGCCTGTGTCTTCACTGAACCAACTGTCATCACTGAGAGAAGAGAGTTCTGTTTCACGCGAGACCTATTCGGAGCCTGAAATGACGGAAGTGTCGCTTGTGAGCGGAGGCATTGTCGATTCACTACATTGTCCCGCGAGGCACTTTCATACTTGCTTTTATTCCGTTTCCTATTGCCCTAACTCCTCATCTGGATTCCTACTGTCCAAAGTGTCCGTGCATTGACCCTGCTGGCATGGGTACACTGTATTCATGCCATAACATTGTTCTTGTATCTATCATTTTTACTAGAACAATCCCCACAGACTACCACAAAGTATCAGGCTGTTTACAGGCCAGGGTGCCCTACGTACATGTATATAATTATACGTCCGTGAAAACGTTGATTGAAGAAACCAGAGGCTACATACTATGCCATTACTCAACCTGCGGACAGAACTGTTTCGGCCTTTGTGGACTTGTCAGCGCAGCACGGCCATAATGCATTGCAGAGAAGGCTGCGAAGTCACATCAATGACTATTGTACCGTGAGCGGGCTATGACAAGTCGAAGGCAGGACGACCGTCAGCACGATGTTAAATGCCCAAAGCGATGTACATGTAGCAACGTGCAGCATTTGCTTTGCGGAAACAAACACACTAGCTCACTTGACCCAGTGAAATTGTTATGGCAACACTTCCCTTGGTGATGGAACAATCTACAATGACGTTCTGGAATCCTTGTTGTTGGGTGTATCCATTGCTTCACCGTGCCAGGTCAAGGTGTTTTAGTCCAACATTCCAACGCAGCCTTTACCCTGCCAGAGTCTTGCAGTATAGTGCTTGACCTTCACCTGGGTACCCATGACCATGTGCACTGTCACATGCATTGTGTTGAGCTCCACTGCGGTCTAATATTACATGGCAAACCATTACCCGTCTTTCTCTCTTTCTCTCTGTCTTGATCCCTGTTATACCCTGATTGGCACGGGGTTCAATCAGGAAGCTGGCCGTCTAACTTAATCACCACTTGATGCAGCCTTTGGTTGGCTGAAACACGAGCACGTACCGCGAATTCACCGAGCCACCGTATGCAAAGCTGTTGATCTAATGCCATGTGTCTACATAATGAACACACTCATTATGCACTTCACCATGTGTGTGTACGTGTACATGTAATCAACGCACAAAGTAGTGCTTGTACACGCAGAGAACGTATCCAATGTGGCAAATAATTAATTCAAGGTGTTAGTGTTACGAATTCTATATTTAGTGATTCGGACTTTCACCTTTCAATAGGTTTTGATAACACACGTGTACACTGTGCGTGTGAAGGAAACAACGAACATTGCGAAGAATTCTGTCGCTGTATTGTGCCCCATCATTGACCTTACACCTAGTCGCTCTGGACGCAGGATCCAGAGTACACGGTATTAGTACTTAGACTCATTTGAGAGAACTGATTAGACCTGAGCAGGTCTTACACGTACATGGAGGTGGAAATAGCGGTCTGCAGATAGACAACAAAGCCTCGCTGGTAGACAGGCCAGTGTGTCCATTGTGTGACATCCTGTCAATGGGGAGGTTTTTCCCTTAACCAGTACCACTGCTAGCAGTTTCAATCGAGGTGCTGGCTCGTTTTCGCAACTCGAGCTAGGCCTGAACAAATGGGTATTCGCGAAGTGTTTGACGAGTTCATCGCAAGGGTTAAGTCGTCATGCACACATTTTACGCGTTGCCTCCAATGTTTGTCCACTACTTCGTTCATGCCCGGTGCAAAGTAGTTGCCATGCTGCTCACAACATCAATTCACAGTGCAGGAATACGTATGCTGTGTGTTTGCGTATGCTCTTCATGAGAGTACAATATTGACAGTATTATCTGGAGAGTCTGTACAAACTGTAAGGTATGTACATCATAGCAGCAGATACGAACGAGCGTGTACACGTACATGTACGTGCGATCTACACTGTACATGATGATACATACACGTAGATTAATACTTGCACGCGCCTAATTCCTGCGAGATACACCACAGATCAGTATGGTCGGTGACTGCAGTGTGTCGCATGCCGCAGTCGCTACTAGGGGACACCATTGTACGTTGTGTTCCTCAGGACACTCTCGACCTCCGGGAGAACGCGCAACACAACCGGTGTCGAATTTCCTTCTATTCTTCTGCGCGGAATGCGTGCCACTCGACAATGAACAATTGGCACTGGGAGATCTTGTTGTCAAGTTAGCGGGCAATGCTTATGAAAACCGCACTTAGCAGTTCAAAAACTGCGATACAGAGCCAGTTTGTGAGCGCGTGCTAGTTGAGCGGGCCCAATATGGGGACGTATCACGTTACACTGAACCTTGCAATTCACACAATTTAGAGCATTTGGTCCAATGCTTCACCTTCGGCTCCCGCACTCAAAGGAACCGTGTGGACAATGACGGCTCACACAATGGCTTTCAGTATCAAAAGACAAAGAGTGTGATCACAACTTTCAATACTTTGTCTGACACTTAATGAACAACCTTGCGGAGGGGATGTAATTGTAATGTGATAGTTACCCCGTTCTTTCTGTTCCACACCAGAACGTCACAACAAACATCAATCAATTGCAAACGTTATTAATTTGTAGTTGCTCTTGATCAGCAATGCAAATACTGCTTGGTATACAACACGACAGCGCATACTTCAGAAGTACATCCACACACACGCGCGCACATACACAATATGCCTCGATATAATTATTATCTCTGTGGGTGGTCACCCCACCCACCCTCTGTTATGATCAGCCCAGATCAGGGGATGCGATAGGGCGTAATATGGCATCACAGGGTGTGATTTCCACGCATTTCTTTCTCTAGATTGACACAATAGTTATGCCTTTGTCGTCTAGGACTGTAAAAAATAATACATATAGGGGAAGACCAGCTAGAAAATGCATCTACAGGGATTTCTCACCTACAAATTGCTACAATATACGTGATTGTACATGTAGGGTGGTGACGATATGGTGAGCGAAAGCGATATGAAAGGAAAGAATGCTGGTGAGTGCGAGCTAGCTAGCCTACACCTTTTTACACATTTGCTGATATAATTGTGTATTCGGTGTCATACAGAGGACATTCGCATAGCTTCGTACTGCTTCCTATTTGTTTTCTTCCTATACAGTCATAATGCTCTGTACGTTGGCAGTCACACTATCCACGACTTCACTGTACTACGAAATATACAGTTGAATATTCCTACCTGCGTGGTACTCCCGTTTCAGTTGCAAACAGCCGATATTATCGCTCCTTTCACGCACATGCACATACTATATCCTCGTCTCTACTGGCTCCGGTTGTGTAGTCTTGCACGCTGCTTTTAACTCTCCCTCAGTCTTCGAAGAGCGTCAGTGGTGGGATGACCAGCCTTGGCCAAACTCAGGAGCAAGATGAGTTCTGAACACTCATGCGTCTGTAGCTGAACAGCTAATGGCATAGGGAAGACTACACAAGCTACGGTATGCGATGGAAGGCCCCCGCCTAAACCACTAAGGCAGTAGGTATGTCAGCAAAGACAGATGAAGCGTACCTAAGAATCTCTGAATTTCAGTGCAGGATGAATGCTGGTCTGCTCGCCTACACTCCTTGCTTTTATGCCTATCTTCATCTGCTCCCATCCGTTCTCGGTGTGACTAGGCAAAGATATGTATACTCTCCCAAGTGCCTGCATGGATTATGCCTATTCGCGGTTACGAGGAGAAATGGCACTAGGTGAAAAGAGACATCAGATCACAGTCAGCTAACGATCAACGCGAAAACTACGTTTGCTGGAAGCAGGCAATCGATTGGGGGGAAATGCTTGTACCAGCACGTAGAGATGCAGACGGGCGGATAGGATATTTTAAATCAGGTATAGGTGACATCTTTGCTCGCTCGCTCCCCCTCTCCCTGGATTCTAGCTTGATTGGAAACGAGAAGATGTGTATGAAACCATCATGGTCCCAGTGGCGGAGATGGTGGAGATGCTTCCAACTAACCAATATCCGCTGAAGAAACGCTGGCACCACGCGCACGATTTGAATTGCTCTTGGCGCCAGGCAGTGTCAACACTCGCGTCCCGTCACCGTCAGCTCAGCGCCGTTCTTCTTCCTGCACGGAACTGCGCGAACGTTCCGCGCAGGCTGAACGCATGGCGGTGCGCCATAATGCCCCTTACACGAGTACTGTGTACCACTTCTTGCTCTCATGCGGTTGCATATTCTGCTACACACTAGCACTAGCACTATGGTCTGTGTCTTTGAGATTCAGTACACAGAGTGAGCGGATCGATCATGCAATGTGCGCAGGAAAAATGAATTCCGTTGTGCACGTGTACGGGTACACCCATGTACAAAGGCAAACTAACTTCCTCTAGATTGCGAGGTGTTCTTACAAATACTGAAGTACTGATCCCCGTTTGCATCTTTCCCTCAAACCAATAAAATATGAAGTACTGAAACACTGAAATTATTTGAAGTGATAATAATATATTATGCCACCACCAAGTATTGACTATGAAGTACCACGGGGGAATAAAGTCACAGCATTTCTATCCCTTGACCGCACTGCTGGAAGCCACCAGTCAGATATACGTGCACATGCATGATTGTACTCGTACATAATCACGCTGATGGAGAATGTGTAACCGAAATCGGGTGTAAAAATACATGTAGGTTTGTAGAGTACGCCACATCTGCGGCATGAACATCTGCGGCATTGTGGGAAGCTTGAGAGAGCTCGTTGATAATGCGACTGTGACCTCTATCGCTGGAGGGCGAGCAAGAGCATGGTACAACCATCTAGCGACCGTCGGACGTTGTTTTGTAGATATTGCCAACGGCTATATCGCTACCTTGTGTATCTATAGAAACTCTACTGAGTATACTGTTCTGTTTCTGTACAGACATTCAGCTGGTATGGCTATAGTAGGGTATGGGTGAGGTGCGGCATTTCCCAGCACCACGTACTAGTGCTTAGATAGGACACCATGACATACAGGTGAACACACACACATACACACACACACACACACCAGTAATGATCGAAAACCGGTCATGCAGTAAACTCGAAAGTTTCCTGCATAAACGATCAACAGGTTGCAGAGAGAACATGGAGACCGCAGACCCGGGAGTCGGCCTCACACCACTCCCTGCTGTGTACCCGGGAGTCGGGTTCACACCACCACTCCCTACTGGGGCCCACTCAGCGTCACGAGGTACTATTGCCGCGGCTGAATATTACTGTTAGTGATCTAACAGGGCAGCGATCCCATTTTGTCTCCAAGCTAATTGAAACCAAGGCCACGTATTCTCCATTTTTGGGTTGCACTGGACTTACGGCAGGAGCAATTGTCTCGATATTTAGCAGAAGTAGTATTGACTAGCTATAAAATTGATGATTAGGTACGAGAACTTACAATAGGCCGAGGGTGTGGTATACGACAATTATCATAAACATGTACATGGAGTAATACCGAGGGAGCAACACCCTGGACAAGACGGTTTGTTTGGCCAAATCGGCCACTTCTTACCCGGCGTTTTAAAAATACGTTAACCGCTGTAGCTGCTGCTCACCAATGAAAATGTGCTCAACGCCACACAGCACCGTTCCACTGTGGCTAGGCACTACCGTTCGGCAATACAGTAAAACCTGTCAAGGCGACCACTCGGATAAGGCTAAACCAGGACCAAGGGATGCTATTTCCAGTCAAATGACCCTGGATAGGGAGACTACCTGGTAACAGAGACCACCTTGTGAAAGGCGTCCCTCATAATTATTTTGATAATTTGTGTTCATTCTAATAGTCGTAAGTTGAGGGAATGGAAAAGGAATGGAAAATTCTAATCTCTAAGGCGTTTCCAAGGTCTACTACTTACATTGTACAACTGAAGTAGAGTCTGTTCTACCTGGCCCGGGAGGATCTCCTCTGTAGGGATGAAGCCATAAAGAAGAGAAGAGAAGTGATTGTGTGAACAAAAACTGCAAAGAGTGAATGTAACGCTGCCTTGCCTTTGATGTGCATGTGCCGGTGTGCTAGGTGAATAGGGAATGCTCACAATAAGTGTAGTGGTGATGTGGATGGTGGTCTGGGTAAAATGTGAAAAATGGAAATGTGACTCCCATGGAATACTCGCCGTAGAAACCGCGCTGACAATGACACCACAGTAGTCCTACATGATTGCACAAGTAGTTTCTCCAGCAGTACAACATCGCTTGTACCGTGTACCACGTCTACGGGTACCTTGTAGGTTTGGCTCGTAGGGGTCCTTTGCATTCGCCTTTGTACGTCACAACGCTCAAACACTGAGCGGCTACACAACATCTGCAACAGGGGTGCGTCCTAATCAAGCTGAAAACGTGAACCTGACAGTGCTAGTGAGAATTTGTATATTCTTCTGGTCGTTAGATTGCCAAATAGAGCAAAAGAGCGATCCCATGATGCATGGAGATTCATCGACGACTAGACAATCCCTCCGGGTATTGGGTACTACACGTGCTCGTGGTATTATAAGATGAGGAACATGATTCTAAGAAGAAATTCCCACCAACAACTGGACTTGTGTGAGTTGTTATCTAGGTTGATTGGAGAGGTCAAAATCGTAGCCTGGAATCCGTCTGGAAAGATCATGAAGTCCATCTGTTCATCCGCTCCCATTAGATCGATCGTTGCTTCTCTAGTCGTATGATTTCTATCACCTGTAAAGACTGTTATAGCACGTTCACGCACTCTGAACCCTGGCCTCGTGCGATTGTTAGGAGGCACACGTACACACACACACACACACACACACACACACACACACACACGCGCACACACACACACACACACACACACACACAATCACGAAATGTAAACACTGGCTTGGTACGTTCATTCGAAGATATTGTCGGTGTTTCCCATCGTAAAACTCACCACCACCTCTTCCATTGACGTTGTTAACTCTCAAGTTGTGTGTGGTCAGGTAAATAGAGGAGAGAGAGAGAGGGGATAGTGAAGACTGAGACGTGCAATTGCCTTTTGTCGTGCTCGTCAAGAGTCACATAGAAATGACGTGCTAAACCGAATATTGCGACATACCCTATCAACGTTTGCTTATCTTCGCTACACGCTAAGATACAGGTGGCGTGAATTGATGCTTTGAAAGGTACCTTGTTGAGCGGCTCTGTGGCACGATTTCAGGAAGCGATCCATCATCTCCGCTCCTGCGGAAATCCTCTGATATGAACCTCCTATCTCTTGCTACACGATCTCCTATGTACATCAGGTGGAAGTACAAGTATCGTAGTACTAGTGTCACGTGGTAGCAATACGTGTGACGTAATAGTATGCCCGGGTGGGCTTTAGGAATTCTACATGATCGTATAACAATACGGATAGAGTGATGCCGCTAATGCGCGTTGTCCAAGGACAGTGCTTTTGTGCTATTCCTTCGTGTGTACTGTTTGGTCGTTGCGGTTCACAAGGTCACCTATTCTCTTACTGCATACAGCAGAAGTAGTGGAAATACACCTTACATGTATATCTGTCCAGATACAGTCGCGTAGATCAAGTAGCAAGCACATAACTATGAAGGAAACATTAAGCCAGTGTATTGGAAGTATACCATGGGGCCTGGGCAGAGCTCAGAGCAGAGCCGAGTGTTAACTCCACAATAGCCCATCAACTGTGTCCACTGTTCTCTTGTCCACTGTTCTCTTGAGGCAGAATGCATGCATGAAACTGATTGCCAAACTTTTCTCTGCATTTCCTAAGATAGGCACAAAAAAATCCAACGGGTTCGCGTACCGGGCAGGTCAAGAACAAGGAGTCGTACAACTCCCCATAGGATAGGCACAGCTCAGATACAGGTTAAATAAAGGGTATTTTAAAAGCAGCAGCATTCGGCGCCCGGTCCAGATTTTTCATCAACCACCACACGATAACTGCGCTCTCCAGCTGACTTCGACACGACGTTGCCACGGCATACCATCAACAAAGCAACAGCCATACATCCGCTGGCACTGAGTTCTTTCAAACAGCTGTTTCGAGTATAAAACAGGTTGTCCAAAAAATGACAAGAAGAGTGACGACGAAGGCTGTGTGCTCCATCTGCACGTCCACTTCCAGTGTCGACCACACTACTACGCAGGGTACACCCGAGGCTCGCATCATACGTAGATCTACTCATGAAGGTGGTGAACAAAAGAGCCGCCGCCTCCAGCTAGGCTTTACCTGAACAAGGGTGATCCTAAAAACGCAATTCGCTGCGTGACAGAGTCTCGTTTCTCACCTTTCTCACACTTCATCTACCAGTATGCGGCGCATGCAGTACCTGGCAGATTGTTGTGTAATCGATGCGTGCCGGTCGACATGTTTAACACCTTTGTTTGTGTCGACCTGTATCTGGCATTGGAGGTCAGTGTTGAGGTGAGGATTTGTCATCAGTAACACGTTCGACGCTACGCGCCTTGCTGGAAAGATGATCTTGGCCTTAAATAGTGCCGCCATTTCCTTCCAGACCGTGGTACGAAGGTGTCTTCGACACAATGAGATAACGATAATAATTTCAACGACGCTAGTCCCCGATTCTAGAAACAGAAGTGACCACTGTTCTATATGTACCGGTATGTGTGTCGCCCCTGAACTCTGTACGTGTAGATGTAGATATCTATACAGTGAAGAAGTGCCTGGGACTAGCGGCAGTCTGGTGGTGTACATCGCAGTCGACGAAATAGGTCTGGCCTGGCCTTTTCAAAATAATACCTTGCGGCTAGGGTTAGGTTACAAACGTGTGCTGTATAACCTCAAAATCAGCCACGTACTTTCCCCGAGGACGAACCTGGGGTCGCTATTAGCCCTTTCCCAAAGGTGCTCTTTTAATTCGCACTTAGTGCTTTTCGCGTCCCTCAAAATATGCTGAAAAGTGCTCTTTTTTCAGTGAAAACAGGCAAAAAGTGCTCTTTTTCAGTGAAGCATAGCCATGATACATGTTCAGATATGAACCCAAGCTGAGAAATGAATATGCACTCTTCCATTTATGGGTCCACGAAAGGCAAAACAGGAAGTAAAGTTCAAAAAACCCACTTTTTACAGCATTGTGTACACCGGGTACAAGCTTCACCACTTTGTTACTTGTTGCCCCCCCCCCCCAAAAAAGCGGCGTGCCAAGGCCCATGGAGCACTCGGAAACTGTGATCGCGCATGCATGAGCAAACAGATTTTAGCACTTTTTCAGCTGAAAAAGCTCAAAAAGGGCGATATTCACCAAAAAACGCAATAAAGGGCGAAAGAAACGGGCTTTTCCAAAAAGGGCCAAAAAGGGCGAAAAAAAGTGCGAGCACCTTTGGGAAAGGGCAAGTCGCTATGGCGATGAGGCCACTGTAGTTCAGCTCACCAAAATGAGTTGGGCTTGTTTGCACGCTGCGCCCGAACAAAGACGTTTTAAAAGACGTATTAAAAGTCGAGTTG